CTAATTCGAAGCACAAAAGAGGCGCCTCACCAGAACCGAGGGATAAACCACTATCGTATTACACTAGATCGAACGTAAAGTAGCCAGTCCTCCCAAATAAAGGTAGAATATTATGTCGGGTAGCCTAGAATGCTTGGTGATGTTGCCTTTAATTGTCTACGCAACTGCTCGCAAATTCGACAAATAAGGCGATTAGCTGGGGGATGTTTGTTGCACATTATCAATTTTATTGTGACGACTAACAAGGATGATTGCCGAAATAAGACTCAGAATCGGTCAATCAAAATGAAGGGAATGTGCAGAGTGATTCCGTTGTTTTAAAAATTATGTCTTTCCTAATAATACACTTGCGTGCTTGACCTTTTTCTTTGTTTTAACTTTTGGCTTCAAGGCCATGCTATTGGGCCCAAACATCACTCTACTCCAAAAATACATATTCCGCCCTTCTATTATGTCCTTACTTGTTTTTGTCGTAGTCGTAGGCAGCCACCCTTTTAAAGCAACTGTAATAAAGGTTTTTCAACAGTGGTCTTTTAGTTCATGATGCGTTAAGTGACGGGTATGTGTGTCATTGTGGCTCTAGAGGCAAAAATTCCGACACTTGAGGTTTTAAAGCAAATCGTTTTGAGAACTTATTTGGGTGCGGGTTGCTTATATGCCAATAAATATTTGTTGTTTTACGTTTTAGGCATAATTTTGTTTTTTATTTCACATACCGAAACTGACTTGATCCCTTGTTTATATGATTCGCCTTTGGGCGCATAGCTTTTGTAGTGATGACTACAGCTGGTAGGCCTACATGGAGTACAGCGAAGGGTGGAAAAGGCAAATGGGAGGGTGACTTGAGCGCTTTATCAAAGCAATACTCTGTCCGTGATCTCCCTTCCCACACGAAGCTCAAGTATCGTCAGGAAGGTCAGGGAAGACCGGAGGACCTTCAGGGGAAAGATTTTAAAAAGGAGCTTGAAGAAAAGGAAAGACAAGCAGCCCTTGAAAAGTCAAAAAAAGGTTATTTTTATGAGTTTTGTGCATCTCAGATGCGGATTGACCTGTTTTTTGAGGATATTTTGGGGTGATTTTTGCAAGCGACATTTATCTAGTTATTTTATTCCTCAAAGGTCTTTGTCAGGTGTTTTAGTGGCTCGACTGCCTCTTTTTTCCATTTGAATAAAGCAGGACACAAGTGTTAGTGTGAAACTAGTGAAAGATGGTGGATTTCCTTTTAGTGTTAGTCAGCTTTGCTGGGCATCATTTTAGGACCAAATCACGTCCCTCTATCACATTCGGGTGAAAAAAGACCGGCTATCTCGGATCAGGATCGTAATACTGGTTCATCGAAACGACCGAAGCAGCCAGTTTTGACAGCGACTGCAGCTTCCGTTCCAACAGCCAATCTTGATGCTGATGACCCGTGGGAAGAAGACTATACTGAAGAGGAACTCAAGGTACCTAACAATAATCCTAGCTCAAGTTCCGGTGACGATGATGATGATGATGATGATGAGAGCAACGAAGAAGACGAGGAAGCTCTTCTTGCCGAATTGGCTAAGATAAAGCGGGAACGTGCAGAGGAGGCTGTTCTAGCGGCAGCAGAAAAGAAAGCTGCAGAGGAGACCATTCGGATGGAGAATATTCTCAAGGGCAATCCTTTGCTCAATAATAATAATTCCTCGGGTACATTGGACTTTAAGCTCTGGTTGCTTCATACTGCATTCAGCAAGTCAACTTATCATTGAGGCGTTTAATATCTTAATTAAACACTCTGAAGATTCATTATTCCATATGATCGATGGCAGCTTAGAATGCCTTTTTTCTTTTTTGCTTATGCTTTCAATAGTTTTACTGCCTTTAGAATCGTCTAGGCACTTTTTCGATTAACATTTTTAGAGTTCAAAGTTAAGCGTCGTTGGGATGATGATGTCGTCTTCAAGAATTGTGCTCGTGGCGAGGTCGATCATTCGAAGCGTGGATTCATTAACGATACCCTACGATCCGAATTCCACAAAAAGTTCATGCGGAAGTACATCCAATAGGGGTTTGCGTTTTTGTACAGTATCCCAATATAGTCATAATTTTACCCACCATTCCTCATTTTACTGAGTGGGTTTCATCTCCCCAGAAGTGCTCCTCTTTTTTACCGAGTGTAATGCCGAGTGATTAGGTTTGATTTTGCAGTGGTCTGTGTTTGCTGTTGGTGGGGTGTTTCGGGTATGACATGTCACAGAGACGTGGTCTCAAGTGTGTTCATCTTTTCATTCATCACCGCTTTGTTGATGTTTCAGACAGTGTGGTACAGTCTGTGCAGAAATTGGGAGACCCGAATTTGCGCGGGAGGTTAAATGGGCTGGGAGCCATGTTCGTCGAAGTTAATGTGCCATGAAGTGGACTTGGTAGAAGTTAGTGGGTAACGAGTAAAATCTCTTGTAAAGCGCTCGACCATAACAAGAAGACGAAAAGGCAGCTGCTGTACGTCCCATACATCAGCGAGCAAGCACATTTAAAAGTTAATAAACCAAATATAACTCGAAAACTGGGTGTATCCTGAACATGAAACCAGATAACGTAATAATATGCATTACAAAAGGTTCGCTGCCTTCCTTTAATCAGTTTGATATCGTGCATGTTTTGTAAAGTCGGATGCAATAAATCACTACCGGTATGGGGTTCAGCAGTAAATTTTAATTGTCTAGAGATTGATCATCCTACAAAATTGTTGCCAATGGCTTGTAGGTGGGATATTACGAAAGCTTTAGTGATTTGTTGACAATGCTATATCATTCTGGAAAACCCTAAGTTTACGTTAAATAGAGAAGCAAGATTTATTTTACCTAGACTTTTTGAAATCCACTTTTTGCTGGCCAGACCAAAAGTCTCGTTGAGTCTTCTTCGAATTAGCTTCAATATGTGCGCGATTCAGAGTGTAGGTATTGGCAGTCGTCGAGCCCTTTTTATTGTGTATTTGCATCGTTCTTAGCTCTCCCAGCAATATCCACCCCTTGGGTTTGTGGATTCAATCCTCTTACTTATGCGAGGGTAGTGTCTTACGATAGTTCTACACGTCCACATGCAATTTGTTTTTATAAAGCTGGAATGTTTTGTCATGTGCATTTTATTGTGAAATTGTGATGCTAGGGACTTTTTTTTGTGAACGTAGCAGAACCCTCTTGGTTGTGCTTGGATTTATTTCATTTTAATGAATATATCCGTCACATATTTTCGGGCTAGTTCATTTGATTATTAGCGCAATATAAGGTGAAAATTTTACGTTTAAGTAACGTGAAGTACATTTATGTAAAGTTCTTGGATATCTTTTAGCTATATTTATCTGTCTTTAAGTGGTCTAACATATACGTTGTTATCTACCTTAAGATATTTATTTTAACTCTAAAACATCGCCATCCCTTGCAGCGCGTATTTTTTTTACCTGTCAGATTTGCTGGTAGGTACTAATCAACCGTCCTTGTCTCCGTCTTCAGTCATGTCTCGCCCATATAGTCAACTTCAAAGACAGGTTCTGAAGCTCTATAAGGATTATATGACAGCTCTTCGTCCCGGCAGTAAAACCAAAATTGAGGAATCGTCAAAATCTCAAATTCGACAGGTAGTAAGAGACGAGTTTCGCAAAAACGCTGTGGTTCTTAAAAAGACCCACTTCGTACGAATCGAAACTCTAGTGAGACAGGGCCGGCGTCTTCTGGAAGACCTTGAGGCAGGTCGAATCGCATCTATAACAACAGTATCTTTTCCTCCTTATAAACAAGATTAATGACTGCGAAACTTCTGCAAAGCATTGTCCATGGGCTTTTCCCCAAGAATTGCGGTCTGGTGTCAGCCTTTGGTTATGGCTCCGTTGCTGTGCCCCAGCATGGTCGCACTGCTGCAAAGTCTCAATTAGATTTCATCCTTGTCGTAGATGATCCCTTAAAGTGGCACACTGCTAATTTGAAACTTAACCCCAATCACTACAGCGGTCTGGCTTCAATTTGCGATGGTGCCCTTCTTAAATGTGCTGTCAACAAATGGCCTCATCCTGCTGTTTACTACAATCCTCTTGTAAACTGGCGTGATTGTACTGATGAATTTCCTCCTCAAGTTATAAAATATGGGGTCGTTGGTTATGAGCCGCTCGTGTCTGACCTCAACACCTGGTGTGATCTGTATATCGCGGGCCGCCTTCATAAACCAGTCGTTTTTGTACCTCAATGCGAACCTCCACCAAAACTGAGGTCCTCTCTCCTCTCAAATCTCCGATCGGCCTTAGCATTTTCTCTACTTCAACTTGATCTACCTCTCTTGAACGAGGATTTCTTATACCACTCCCTTGCGTCTATCTCATATCGTGGTGATTGGCGTCTCTACTTTGGTGAAGATAAGAGAAAGATTGAGTGTTTAATCACAGGTGAACCTCGTCGACGCGGTTTCCGTGAGCTCTATCTACCGCTCTTCACCACCAGTCCTTTCCAATCCCTGTTCACCGTTGAATTGCCAAGCGACTTAAAGACGGACATCCGCATCTTCCCACAACGGGAGGGCCAGATTGTCAGGCAGCTTCTTGAATGCCTACCTTCAGCACTCTGTCAGTTGGCTGTATGCGAAGACAGCGCATCAGCGCGTCATCGATTGACTGAAATGACCACTAAGGAGAGGCGAATGCGACTCCAGCATGCATCTGCTTCCATTGTCCGTCGATCCAGCTACTGGCAAACCGCGCTGGGTCTGTTCTCAGCAGGTCTTTCCCGATCTGTTGTCTACTCCTTCGCAAAATTCCGCAAGATGCTTGCTAGTCTTAAATCTTGATGAAGAGCGCAGCTCTCCACCCATCTCATTTTTTTTAATTGGTAGAATTTGTCTGAATAAAACATTTAGAAAACTCTCTTATTTGATTAGTTTTTAGGCTTTCACCCAATAATTTCGTGCCCATTTTAAGGCATTCCGGGATGAATGGATTCCCTATTTTTAGTCTTGAAAATTAGCACACCTGTTTTTTATGGTATGTACAAATTGTCAGCTTTTTTTAAACAATACAAGGTTTCTCCGGCTCTTAGTAGACTGCAACTTTGAAATCACAAAGGTCGTAAAATTGGAACTTAGAGATTGGAGTTGCTCAGAAAAGGTACTTCTGGGCATCCATTATGTAGAAATAGATAAATGATAATATGTTCTAATGTGACTTCGCGGAAGTCTCTGATACTGAGTGGTTAATAATCACCAAAACCCACATGGGATAGGGTTTTGTGGGTCAGATAGGTGGGCTTACTATGGACTTGCACGGTTCCTTTTTCACTGGAGGACGTGTGATGCTGCAGCGAAGGCGCTGATGTGGTTCTGCAAGCTAAGACCATCACCGGTACTGCTAGACTTTGAGAGGGTTTGCATTCCTGCTTTCATCAAGATTTTGTCACAGAACCTGTGCATTCCTCATCGAAGGAGGCTGGGAGTTTACAGTTTTGCTTTTTCTGATGAGGACGTTGACCATGCTGAGGTTGATATGACTGGTGCGTCTTTAAGACAACCTGTGCGTCAACATTCACTTCTGTTGTTCACAAAAACTTGGGCTGACCAATGCGTCTTGCTGTGTCTTCATTCTACGACAACGTTGTCACCTTCTTGGTGATCAAAGCTGCCCAAGCTACCAAATTCTTTAGCACCCGCCTTGAGGTTCTACTGGTAGAATTCGCGATATGCTCTCCATTTGATGTGTAAAAAAATCGGTTGTTCTCTCAGACGTACGCCTTCAAACGCATGTGAAGTCTTTCCGCACTATGCACCAACCTAAGTAAAACAGTTTCGAGTAATTCGCACTGTACTAGCCACCATTTTAATGGCTCAATACTAGCTGAAAATTATGAAACTTGGGTGAATTTATGTGGCATGAGTCTTTTGTATGAATAAGTATTTATCATGAAAGTGTTTACGCTCATATTGCCGACTTGGCAGAACCGAGGCAAATTGTCGATGTCCGTTAGGGCTTTCGTGGGGAGGACTGGTCCCCAAACTCGATGTGGGATTGCCTTGGTAGATGATTCACTCCCCACTGTGGCACCCATTGGAACCGCATTTTGAAGCACTGTGGTTAAGTGCCAAAGTGGTGTGGTTTCAATTATATGATTCTTCAGGCCAAATGTGATCGTTGCTGCGTAAGGTAGTGTAGCTGATGATAAGGGCAATAATTTTGAGGCTGTGAGTGGTGGCCACTGCTCAAACAGAATTGTTAATGCTTTGTATCAAAGATCTTCTTCAAATGAAATAATTTATATTCACTGAAATGGTAGAGTAACACTTTCTGCCTATTAGCTAAGGGTCATCTGCAGTACCTTAAACGGTGACTTTTATACACAGAAACTCTGAGTGGTTGCATTCGTATAAATATGTTAAAGGCAAAGCCTTGTTGCTAATAGTAAGTGATTGCGGACTGACCTTAAGGATCCGTGGATAGTCGTATATATCGCTATGCCGCTTTGCCTACACAGGTAAATGGCCAGATTACGTAGTCAATGCGCCATTTCCTAATTCCGTTGGGACCAAGGTGAGTTTTGCCACTGTCACTTTAGTCGCCTACTCCATCATCAAACTCCTGCCCTCCATCAGAGGTCCCAATGAGGTATCTTTCGTTTTCTTCTTTCGTCTGGCTTTTTAATGGATATATGTATACTCCCATTTTCGACTTAAATGGCACCTAAGCCGATTGGTAAAGTTAAATTTGTTCCTATTCCCAAGAGTTAAATGTTCCCTTTACTAGCTTCCACTTTGTAGTCGCCTTCAACACGCCTAAACTAATGGCACCTGCATAATTGAAAGCACTAGCATGATGTTTAATGGTTGACTCTCCCGGACGAGAACGGTAACCATTAGGTCGGGTGGAATGCTTATGCTGAAACTGAACGCACACGATCCAGAACTACAAAAGGAGTCGGTGACGAAGGCAAACCTTGATGGGACCGTAGCATGTCCTCAGAACAAGTGCCAGCAGTAGGCAAAGAAAAATCCTAAAGTTTTTTTTGCCTCATTGCGTTCTAGATTAGTAGATATCTTTGTAAGCTTTAAAACCCCCGACAAAAACATTCGTGAATAATTTAAAGTTCATTTTGGCCTCTCAGATTAACACATATAAATGAGAGGAGCATCCGTTGATACATCACGAGATTTGTTTGGCTTTTTTAAAGTGCGAACCAAACTCAGTAAGAAACTACAAGAGCAGTCCCAGTTTATTAGGTTTATGTGCAATATATGCTACACTGACTAAAAAAATAGTATAGCGTGAAGAGACACTGTAAATCCTATGCAATTGTTTACCAAAAAAATGCGAGATGTCCTTCAGACATCCGAGTAAGGAACTTACACAGCCGCCTTTAAAGGAGCTTGGAAGTGGTTTCTTTCACTTCGGTAATGGAAAGTGGCGAATCACACTTTCGCATTTCGGTGCTCGATGCGCCAAGTCTGATTCGTTGGGCCCTGCACAGAAGTAAGGGCAGCGTTCTTTAACTTGCAGATACTTTGTTATCCTTTTGCACACACCTTATTTGCAGCAAAATTGATTTATCGCTTGGCACGATTCAATCTCAAACCAAAAACATTAGCATTACATTCTTATTTTTCTTTTTGGTTATAGTCAAGGGAAACTTATGCAAATGACGAACCAACGGTGTGTTGATGTACCACTTTATCCCATGTGGTGCATGGATGGAATTCAGCGAGTTCTAGTTCCTCGTACTAGCAAATATGAACGTATGAGGAAATAGGCACCGTTGCCCCATTTGAGTCTTTTGTCTAATTGCAGATCACAAAACTGCTTCGATGCAAATACGAGGCGATCACGTAATGACAATTGCAGAAGTTGTGAGGCTTTCTCACATTTTTGGGTGACATTTATCAATGAAACCGTGAACTAATACCATACCCGACAGAACCAAAGGCGAAGTGGCCTCCACTTTTTCAAAGGCAGATTTTCGAATTAATTCTAGTTATAACGCACATAGAGTTGCATACTTAAACATTCATTTGACAAGCGTAGAAGCCTAGCCACCTCTGCATTCTTGGGGATTTTATTTTATAAATCGAGGAATGTGGTCTTTTAATGGGTGACTGTTTTAGCGTCTTGAGACTCCCTGAAGACGAAAGAAGACAAAATACTGGGGCAGAATAAATATTCAGCGCAGAGAAGGTGTCTGGGCTATTGGCATGGCCCGAAAGGCCAGCCGACCCAGCGAGGTACAAGAGGGCTAATTCAAAGTGCAAGGGTGGCACCTCGCCAATATTAAGGGATAAACCATTATCGTATTACACTGTTGTCTACCTTTACCTCCTCAAGCCATCTCAGTCAATTTCATCTCGTAACGGCGTGGCAATAACAATTCAATGAGATCTAGTAGCATTATTACTCGAAGGTAGGGTTTTGTAACCGGAGAGGCTCGAATTAAAATCTTGGGTAGGAGTGAAACTATGTATGACACTTTAATGTGCAACTCTTCGAGCTCAGCTGCGCCTTTGTCTGCTACCGCATTGCATTGGACCTTATTCATTAAAAAAAAATATAATTTATGGTGCCCGGAATTACTGAAGTATTTTCTGCACTGTAGAGCGCAGCACTCATAAAGGGAAGAAGAAACCTTTCAAAATTCCTTATGGAAGGGCTGAAAGGCCATTACTGCCGAGTGCAGAGGCGAGGGCGTTCATGAAGTTAAACGATGCATAGGATTAACACAATAGAACTAAAAGTTTAGTATATTTGCCTATGGGCAGCTATAGGACAAGGTGGTTTTGCAATCAAAGGGCTAAGGCTCTTTTACCAAAAATGCCCCTAATTCCCGGGATATTTTAAAAATAAGCATGATTTTAGTAAAAGTTATGCATGGTTGCCATAATTACACAAAGTGAACACCTTTTATGCGCAATAATTATGTACAGATACAGAGCTTTTATCGCTTTTATCTTTCTGCTGATTCTACAGTATTTGAAAAACAGTGGTTATTATTTGGAGCATTGATACTTTTAATGAACTCCTCTATTTTTGTAAGTGCTACCCTGACCTTGAGCTTGGATATTCATTTATAGACTTTTTTCCTGTGGGAGTCGATAGGGAAGCTGCGGGAATGGTATGGTGGCGGATTCTCAATTTTTGTCTTCTCTATTTTATGCATTTTCACAACCCTTATTTTGAACGGGGAATAACTCCGGATTAGGTGCCGAATATGGGTACATTTAAAGGTCAATTGTGTTCATTACTAGTTTTTGTTACATTGGCTTTTGGGATTGATATGTCATCCTATTCAATTTGGTTTCTATTTCAACTCTGAAAATTTTTTAGGCTTCACAAGTTGAAAACGAAATTTTATGTCAATACCCTCTACACTATCTCAGTCGCTCCGGTGACGCAACTGGGTTACAACAATGTCTTATAAAAACAAACTTCAGTCCATTTGATCTTGATTCACTAAACTACTGGACTCCCGCACATTGGGCGGCATCAACTAATCAAGTACGTCAAAAGATGCCTCATCAACCGCTTAAATAGTGCGATTGTCTTATGATTCTGGCACCTTTTCGAGCTCTTGACGTAGCGGCTCATCTTTCCCTTACAACGCCATTACATATCGCCGCAGAAATGGGCTTTGAAGATTGTTTACTTGTACTTATAAGGAATGGGGCTGGAATTAACTTCCAGGACTCTAGTGGTGACACTCCCCTTCACAAAGCAGCAAGACATGGACACATCAGTTGCATGAAGATGCTTCTTGAAGCTGGAGCTTGTACAGAGTAAGCAGTTGCATACTACTTCGGAATGCTTTTAGTACCCGCAATTTCTATAAGCGAACGGCCTCTGAGGTAGCTGCTATTAACGGACATTTTACGTTCGCTTCACTGGTGAATGAGGCGTCTCGAATCAAGAAACAAGAAAATCATATTCCTCCAAATGTTTCCATATTGCGCAACAATAATGTGTTTGCATGTAAGCGGTCAAGAGATAGTCTTGCCTCGGTGGGCGCTCTTGACGGAGACCTTTCTGATAAACGACTGCGGTTTTCGGGTAAGTGTCACTTCCATTTTTTTGAATCCATGTGCGCGTTCATGAATATAAGCGCACAGTTCATCTCTAGATGCCGGCGTAACAGCGGTATGTCAACCCTATAAAGTGGTTTGAAATTAAATGTCTTCGAGTAGCTTTAATTGAGTAGATACGTTTCCTATGAATTCAATTTAGCGTTGTAAATGGATGCCACGGAATTATTGGTAAACAAGCAGTAAATCATTTATCTATAGTTGATCGTTAATCTAGAATAAGAAGTCTTCTGGTGCTCCATTTGCCTTGATAATGTTGAGTATCAATCAAATGAGGTGTTTGGGATCCAGTCCCAATTATCTATTCTTATCCAATAGCATAAGCACAGTAATTGGAATTCTGTGGAAGAATTAGTTCCAGAAAAATGGTCCGCACGGGTTTGTATGTAAACTACAATATCAATAGCGTATTAGTGTGCAGAGTAGCTAAATGTGTTCTTGACGCTTCTCACAGAAATACTTACATGACTACTGCTTTCAGTGGGCGTTTTGACAATTCCCATGCTCGCTTATGTACCGTGTAATCCACGTCCATTGATGATATTGCTAAGTATAAAAACATATTTTCAGCCTCGACCTCCTCTGAGTGTTCTAGGGTGGACGAAATTCCACTGTGGAGGTGTAACATGAATCCCAGCATGTATTGCACACGTACAGTTTTGTAGGGGTCGATTCTTTTGGGAATAATATACATGAGCTGATTCTTGTCAGGTTGATTTCGCTAATAGCTGTCAGCCCAGAAGAGCATATTTTCTTTCTATGTAGTTTTCATTTTTGCAAAATTTTAAATCGAAGCATGTACACACGACGGAGGAAAATTTAACGGTTTTTTGTTTATAAACATTTCCACCACTCCAATACTGTACTGATTCCTTAACTTCTGTATGTGTCGATAGAATTCATTTGCTGCACGAATCAGTCATGTGAATTGGCATTTGAGCATCCCAATAAACAAGAACTATATCTTTTCATTGGTAGCACTACTTACGAATTTTATTAGAAATAATTTACTCGAAGTTTATTCCGTGGCAACCTTTACAACGCTGGTTGACAAACAGTAAGAAAAGAATCTGTTTATTACTCCTGTACCTTTGTACCATTACCTTTATTCTCTATATTTTGACAGCATTTTGAGCTGAGCAACTTGCGAGCGTTAATTTACACAGAATTGGCAAAGTTTTCATCCCATTTTCACATTTTAACTTGGAGATCAGGATCGCAAAAATACCTCGAACCACCTTATTGAATGCGCGAGTAGACAACGCTGTAATTTTGGCAATTAAAATTCCTCAGTGTACAGCTAAATTCTCCATGCCAGTATTTATCCCACCGTTGAAATCGGAATAGGTTTTTTCGCTCTTTCTAAGGGAATATCTGTGCCACTCAAAGTGAACGTTTCCGACGTCATTCACTCTACCAAAATTTTCAAAATCGGTCTTGAAAGCTTCACTTTGGCCGGTTAAACTGCTACCTTGTTTGGCCTTTGCGGTTTGAAAATTGTGGCCTCATTCAAAAGGACAAAATGTTGAAGACTAAAGTGGACAAAAGCAGCCTTATTAGAAAAGTAATTTGAGCGAAAATGAGGAACCTGCAACTTGAATAAATGTTGGGCTTGAAGTTATCCAAACGATCCCTGTCTAAATGCTTTTACGACTTTCATGGGGAGTGATTTCGGTGCATGATTTGCATTTCTGATCAGCACTACAATGGTGTTTGCAAAAATGGGTGCCTCGTGAAAGCACTCTTTGTGTCACATTTTAAAGGAGAGCAAATGGTAATAATAGCCTACAAAATCCGGAGAGTTAATGCTGCCTATAAGGCATTTAATGTAGATAGGCTATCACTATACTGTACTAGCCAGGAATTTGTAAACTATGAGCGTCTCTAATAACGTTTGGGTGAGTGGATTGAATGCAAGACGAACTGTAACCACACGCAGGCCAATCAACGGTGGAATCATCCTCAAATTGTGCTGGGACATTCTCTCCCAAGTTCATAACTTGGTCCTCAGGATCGCCACGTCCTTTCACCTCTGAGCTGATTCGCAGGTCCAATTCAAGGATTATGAAGAATTAATGTACTACCGCTCAGATTTTCAACACAGAGCTTGATCGTTTTCAACAAGATATCGTAAATCCGGGCATTGTGATTATTTACTTTTTTGTCACTTAAATCCACTTTGTGGAATAAAGGCAACGGAGAACTTAGTTGTACACCTGGGAAATTATTTGAGCCAAATCTTTATTTCCAACAATTATTTCCAGCTATATATGAGTTACCAACGTTTTCGGTTTGCAAAATTTTGCCTCCGTTCTCATAGCTTATGCAGATTTTTTCTTCATGAAACAGCCATTCTGAAATTTTATCCTTTCACTGCATTGTTCAGCTATTTATCCCAAAGCGTTGGTTCATAGTTGCTTGCTGATTGGTTGGTAGGTGGCAGGATAGGTTTGCCAAGTCGTGTAGTTCATAAATATCCTTGCCAAGCCACTATATAAAACATGATAGGTAGTAATATTTGCTCATTTCAAGTTTCACGGGAATTGGTATACTTGTTTTTGTGACGTAATCAGTTTATCACTTATTCCGTTAGTTCAGACATTTTCGTAAACGCGAAATTAGTGTGGCTCAGTCCCGTAACGTATACAGAACTGTTTAATTAGTTTTGCCAGGCGTATCCATAAATCCGTTAAACGTTACCTCACAAACAATTTGATGGATCTAGATTTGGTGACACTCACTACTTTCCTCTTAGTGCAATCGCTTTGGCGGTGGCCAAACGATGGTATGGCCATCGTTTGGGAACACATCAACATTAATTTCAGCACTAATAAAGGTACTTGACGACTGTTTCCATATGCGAAGGGTAATATCCATTTCAGAGTGGAATGGTCAGGTGCAATTTTTGTATACTTGCAGATGCAATTACAGGTCATATGAGATCAATTTTCAATACATTTTTTTTAAACTCTAGCTGTTCATATGAATAGCGAGGTCAGTAATATAGCAGGAATGTTTGCCATCTTGATGCGATGTCTTAGTAGCATTGATGTGTCAGTTGCTAGAACTCAATGGTGGTGGTTTTCCTTTGTAACCACTTCTGCTTGCTATCATTCTATTCTATCGAATAGTTTTTGCAGCCACACATTACAGAAGGCGTATAATTTGGCACTGGAGGATCCACCTCGTGCCGAGTTACTACTTATTTCAAGTTGGATCCGGATATTTGGCGGACACCTACATCGCTTCCTGACACCTTCGACATTGATATCTATCGCCAAATTCGATCGCATCAGTTAAGTTGTAAGCGGTTGGAAAGATGTTTGCGGAAGGAAAGCTGTTGTTTCTAGTGCTTCGCAGGGTTTCCCTCTACGCCACTGTTACAGTGTTTACGAATCTGCGCCATGGTGCGTGGCTTGCATATATTTAATTGTAATTGACAAACATGCTTCTGCCACTGGAACCGTGTCTAAGGGGAGATTCTTCCCGGTGTTTGCTTGTTGTCTGACTCTCAGTGGGTGATTAGGGATTGCGCCATTTTTCACGAGCACCGCCTCCAACCGCAGCGAAGGTACGACAATATACATTTTAACACCATCGTTCTTAGTGTCTAAAATCTCTAATGCGTTCCTTGCCTCTGTCGGGGTATTATTTAGGTGACATTATTGTAAGCGGTATTGTAGGCTAATTTCGCACTTAACAAATAAGGACGACCCAATTTCTGCCCCTAATGGTGTAACATAAGGCCTGAACTTTAGCGCCTGAGCATGGTACTTTGGTAGACCTAAAAAATTCATTGCTACTTACGGCCCTGGCAAATGCCTGTTGCTTATTTTTATGTTTGCACATGTTAGAAACATGCGTGGGTGTTTGGGTGTAGCATGTTCGGAACCGTTTCGAATTCGATATTCAGTGTCGTCGTTTGGAAAGCTTGTGTTAGAAGAAATTTCTAGACGAACTCTAATTAGTACAACACAGAAACTTTAGTAAACATGCTGCCCTTAATTCGCAATTCTAAAACTTCAAAATGCGGTCGGTTGGTTGAACGCGATTTTATTCTATTGCGCCATGCGCCCATCCACCCTTGATGATTCTTACAAGGCCGATGACATTTATTGCTGTGTCCGATTGAGGAGCTATTAAATTTTGCAAACCGAAAACTTAATCTTTAAGCCCATGTTTCACTGTAATCCATGGCGTAGGTTACAAGGGTACCGATTGTTACGCACGGCTCTAATGCATAACTTTGTGTGTCTGCATTGTTACCTGTGCTTGTGCATATACTCAGCACCTTTAAAATAATAATGCAACAAATGCATCGTTCAATTAAAGACTGACGTGCAATGAAGTAGGTTGATGTAACTGGAAATTACGGTGCTCGGAGTCTTCCGCTCAAGACTCGTTCTTTCACCAAAACACAACAAAGATTGCGTGATTTGTAGACTTATGGTGGTTTATTATCCTTGGTTGGCAGGGGTATGCACACCCCAAAAATTGACAACTAGTTTAACGCCTTGCCTAGGGGCGGAACGGCTTGCGGGATTGACGGGTGTCGAGTGTTTACATAAGGAATTTCGGAGACTGAGAGAAACGACTGCAACTTGCTGCGATGAATATGCTCATTTGCTATGCTTGCAGTTGTCATGTGCGTGTGGTTGTCAGACTGAATGCATAAGTTAACACAAAATAGTATGTGATCCATCGTACATTTGTCTTTGAAGGTGATCGAATTCGTTCTCATTTTAACTTCAGGACATTTGAGAAATAAAAACTTATTTATTACGACTTGGCAGAACAATTGCACAAGATTACACTGGTTGGCATTGTTGCAACGATTTTGTGGGGAGCATTAATTAATAGAGCCGTGTGTGATTTTTTGTGATCATGTTATGATCACATCCTGCCCGTCACAATGTCTTCACAATTGTAATTGTTCACCACCAGCCCAGTATTGCATGGGTGCGGCCTAATCTGTTTGACTCTTAGTGCTTCGCACTTAGCATTAGATACAGTTTTCAAACAAACCAACCCCCGTTCGTCCCGCAGGCTCTACACGTCTCACACTTTAATTAGGCATCCCCCTTTTCAGGCTCATCATCTCCAAAATCTCTTCATTCGGTAGATGGCTATGCACTGTAGGCTAATGGCGGAACTTTATCCACACCACTTGCTATTGCTTTGCTTGAAAAATTAGGGGAAATAGTTTTAAGGTGTTCTCCTATTCCGTCTCTTTTGCAACCAATCTGGTTGGCCAGTCGGATCCGTTTGGAGCTTGACCACTGCCAACATAGGAAAAAGTATAGTTTGGCAAATAGTATCTACTTGAAGGCAATGCATACTTGGTAGTGTTGTCAACTTTTAATACAGTTTGGGTGAGTTAGCTGAACAGGTTATGGGTTGCATATTTAATTTAAATATGAACGATGCATTTGTTTTATGGGTATGCATAAGCAGTGACATCTTGCTAAACCATTTTCTTCAGCTCACACTAATCTTCCAAAATTGGCTGTGAGATAAATGTAGTCAAGCAATCTTTCGAAGAATGCCAACTTTCATGAAAAGATATGGCAAGTCTCATCCCGTGTGTTTTCGCCACAACTCTGGCCAATCACGAGTGCGCAGCAGGTGTCAGTGACATTGCGTCTTTTTTCCTCATTTCGTGTCCTCGGAAAGCAAACAGCACCAGACAATTCCAAAAGAGATGCTTCGGCTGCTGCTGATGATGATCCATTTTACCTGTGCGACTGCAAAACGAGAGCTGAAATTGCACCAGCTTCCACAGCCACCACCTACCGTATCTCGTACAAGCCTCGCCAACTACACCTTATTGAGTGGTTGAGAAGGTTGGCTCAAGGATGCTTTCATGGAGTCAGTACGGCGCTATCTGGCGCTGGTAAGAAAGCTGGTAGTAACCATCCACGAACAATATGCCAGAACCAATTTTTCAACGAAGCACACACAACCACAACTAGTCCAGCTGCTCCGCCATTTTCAAGCCTTTTAATTCTCGTGCTGGTGCTGCAATACTTTTTTCTTCTGCTTTCCCCCAAGCCTCCCCGCCCCCTCTAGTTTTCGGTAATAGGCTTTTTGAAGTTACTTGAACTCTTTCAGTCTGAAATAAATTTCTCGAGAAAGCACCTATCAACATATCCGTGCGACATATTTTCGTCGAAGGGAAGCGTGGTCTGCGAACTTTGTGTTGTTTCATCTGCACTCTTCTGATGCTAAACTTCTTCACTATAGTCGGTCTTATGTTTGCGCTACCTTTAGTAAGTTTGTAAGTTGAAAGAAAGCACTTCAAATGTTAGACTAGAGTGCTTTGGCGTCGGCTGTTGCGAGTGATGCTTTTGAGAAGGCAAATACGAATTTAAGTCCGTCCATTGCAGTCTATGTGTCTTAGTAGACTCCTGATATCCAGTGGATTTTATGTTCAAATATTAGATCTGCATAGATACATATGCTCTCAGAAACAGATAAGATATTCGGACACTCTTCGCCTCGTCTCGCGAGATCTTCAGTCAGCCACAGGGATTTACATTTCAGGCGGATTATTTCTTTTCTCGCCCGGATCTTACCTACATGGTTTGCTTTACTGAGGTATTACTTACTCCAATCCCTCGTTTAGCTGTCTTGTGTCCAATCAGATTACGTTATACCCTGCTTTCCATTTAGGTAATCTTTTACCTTGTGCATAATGCTGGTTATAAGAATCACACCTCCGGGTGTTTCATCAACGCTTGTACGGGAATGGTCGAAGGTAAAAACAGGTTCTGATGTTACGTATTTTTGACAGTGTCGAATACGTATGAGTTAAGCTTTGTTCGTTTATTTGTTTGACGTACTATCAGGTGTAACATCGGGTCCTAGTTCAACTTCTGGACCTTGTCAGGAGGTTGAGTCTTTAAAGCAAACCGACTAAAGGAGTTCTACCTATATGAAACTGTGATTTGATGTTTTGACGCATCAGTTTCCAGATTTTCGTTTCGGTATTGTGAAACCTTTCAAAAAAGGGATAGGAAATCAAAAGACCCTAGTTTTTTACTGCCAATGTTGTATGCCATGACGTTTTTCTGTCTCCTCGTTTCCCACTTTTCTATTCATCCCCTGTTTCTTCTTTATTGTTTGTCATTCATGTAAGTGTACCGCAGTATATTTGCTATCTTGAGTAGATTGACTGGGTACTATGCGGCAAACACCGTGCCATCAGGATTTTCTGCTTCCATTTGGCCATGTTAATCGGATCACTGCATTTCCAAGACGATGTGCATTGTAGTGACAGGTGTTTGATGTAACCATTGACAGCAAGCCCATCGGAGAACTAAGAGGATTGTACACTCACTTGCTTGCATAAAAATTGGTCCCAGTGGTATTTATTAAGACGTCCTCGGAAGAAAAACTTTACACTTCATGCTGAAACTTAAGTAGATTTCATCGGAGTTTCCGAAGTTGTTGCATGCCCAGTTGTGCTTGCTATTACACCGGTGGTCTAGTTTTGTGGATGGAACTTTCATGCGTAACATATGGCCTCTCCTCGACGAAAGTACAGCTGTATTTATACAACCACGAAGAAAATTGTCTACTATACCGAACAATGTAGTATTGTGCTTGGCCTTATGGAAATAGTTTAGCTCCTGATGGCACAGTGTTGTTCCCTGATAAAAGTGCGTATTACACATTTTTTTACTATTTCCCAAGGTAAAGAATTCATTATCTTCGTTCCCCCCTTCCTTCCTTGCCTTTTTCGTCAACCAGCGGCACCAGTCACGCTCCCTACACGTTCCTGTCATCTGCGTGGGTCTGGGTGATGCCTGTTTTAGTTGCCGCTTTCCACGAATTAATTGACACACCTTATACCTCTTCCTCGCCTCTGCACAGATCCCGTGTTCCAAATTGCCGCGGACATGGTGGGACAAGGCGGACATAAGCTCTGGCAAAACGACATTCAATCAAGCATCTTCGAGCACGCCACCCAGCTGCGCATGACCGACGCCTACGAGGAGTTGTACAACTCGCGCTTCGCCAACTCACTGAACTAGATCACCCATACGCATACACATACGCACATCTCCTCCTTTTACCCTTAAGTCACCAAGACACTTATGCGCACCTGTGCTCGCCATTGCTTACTCCTTCCAATTTATACCAATAAATCGACAATGTTATATCCGCCCCATCATATTGTACAGACATTCGGATGTTTGGTTGTAACATATGCTTAAACTTTGCTCACACCTCTCCTCATCCGTTGTCATTCTATCAAAATATATGCCCATAAGGTAGTTCTTGTTGAACGGGTGAAGCGCCATCATCGTTTATTCTACGGGGTATTGATGAAAGGGGCGGACTGGTTTAGAAAAACGACGGATGCCGCGGATGTGGTCTTTTTTAGAAGCTGTTGTCGGTGCTTTTTAGTGCACTAGCTCTTTGGTAGGTTATTTGCCTTGTCGGGGAGCGTGCACTTTTAATCGTTTATTGGAGGCAAAGATAGCTTGTGGCAAATTGCAGATTCAGCTGCCCTCGTGGTGGGTAGGTCGTGCGCTTGACAGAACGTGGTCGGGGCATCTAATTGGTTAGACTCACTCCTTGCATTGGCCAATAGGGGGAGTCGAGCCTTAGAAACTGCCACAGGCTGCGGCGACTCATCCTACCCCCAATCCGCAGATTTTTTCTTCGAGGGTGTCGAACGCTTACCGTCAAGATGGTGAAGCCTAAACTCCAAGATTGCTTTAGCTAAGACAACACCTTGGACCAGTTCGGTGCACTCCAGTAACACCGCTGTTAATGGATGGAATTGCCGCCTCCATCGATCTACCCGTTCCCCCTTCACATTCTTGGAATGCACAAGTATGCACCAAGGTGCCCAATTTTTAAAAAAATTAAGTGATTATCTATTGTAAATGAGGCGCGAAACCGAATAGATTCTTGTAGGGGATTGTTTCAAGAAAACCGGAAAAATTGCAGCATTTTTGACGCAATTAATTCATTCTCAGGGTTAAGAATTTGCCAAGTTCACTTCGTCGTAGTGATAGCGAAATTTACTGTGCCACTCTAGAGGAGCTGTTCTCATCAATGTGTGCCGGAATTGAAGCCGTTACTGCATGTGAGCATCACGGGAGGCATCGCGCTTGCTTGGTGCATGAGAAAGGCGAGTTCAATTGCATTACCAACTGCTACCACTTCTCGCTCATGCACTACGGATGAGCTCCCAAACGAGAGACTGATTAGGCATGACTTTCCATTGTCGAGTGCATAATGGCAATGATATTCGTTCACAGTGTACACTAACAGGCTAAACAATTGGACTTAAAAGTTCACCCCTTTCCCCCTCCTCACCTGTGATCAAACTCAAGTTCCTGTCACATTTCATGGACAACACGAATTTTGCGACTTGGTTTAAAAAATGAAAATTTACACCTTGGTGTTGTAAAAGGAACATAACCAAATGAATCACTCCTCTTAACTTCAAAACATTAAATGAAGAGCCGCATTCATCCAACTTTACCTTACTTTTTCTATTTAGGCTACTGATTCAGACGAGTGTTTTTTCGTTAATACTGGTAGAAAACCATACTCTACCTCTACAATGGTTTGCGATTAATAGAAAAATTAACTTAAGCCTCCTACACTCTGGAAGTTTGCATTGGTGCTTGCGCGATGCTGAGGAAACCCTGCTCAATAACCCATCTAAGCAGGGTCGCCCTTCGTGCATCACTTTTGGGTGATTGTCTTATCAAAAACACGGTTTGGGAGCTGATACTTCTGATAAACAAATATAATCATTGAAATGAACGTTTACCCCTAGAAATGCGCCTTGTTACCCGTGTCAGATACCAGCGCTCATTTAATTATGCCTGCAGGGTCCACTATTTAATAACTAAGTCTTTTATGGGGTTTTAAATAAGCGACACAGTTCCATTCACAGTATAACCCTTTAAGAAGTAGCACAATTTCAATGAGAACTGAAGGAAACGTATTTGTGCTATTATACCACTTCACTAATGGTCAAACGATTCCACAAACATTGGAACGTTTTATAACTTTTTAAATGTAAAGGAATAAAACGCTTTGGCCCATCACTCCAAGTTTTTGCTCGTCCGTGTGGTAGTCCAATAAAACCATTACTAACTCAACACCATGGGCCTGAAGTAATTCCTGATGCCATACCCATGTAGTGCATACAATGGCCATTTGCGCTTTAATATAGAATCTCTGCACATGAAAACACATATCTCTGAATTTTATGAAAAGAAACGTGAAGATTTAACAAACGTTTTTTCTGCTTTGTTTGAATTGCATACTGGTTTACGGTAAACATGACTACCAGTCGAAAAATATGACATCATATTACCAAGTAGTAGTGACGATAGCCTTGTCACTAATTTAAAAATAGTAGTAAATTCTTTTGCCATAATCTGGATAGCACTTCCCTAAAGCATTGGCTCTAGCGATGAAAAGCGGTTTGAAGAAAAAATCTTGTAAATTGGCCAGAAAACCAAGACATGCATACATTTGGCCTTTATATAATAGCAACCACTGCACAACCGCAGATGAATACGTTTTAGAGAGAATAACACTTTATTAATGTGAAATGCAAATAGGGTGATAAAAGTCGACTCGAAAAATAGGAAAATATGGAATAATGAATAATCAGTAGAGAGAGGTGCTTCGTCAGTACGGCTGGAAATAGGTTCGGTACCTTTATGTAACCATTAAAATTTTAATAATAAACGATGAATTCCAACATGTCAAATGGCATGAAATCACCAATTACTTTTAGAAAAAGGATGATTAATCAGTCAGAATAACGGTAATTTGATAAAAAGCTTGTTGTCCACGCCGGTTACAATTCGACCACTTTTGTTCCCCATTCTCTGCACTTTGACGTGTGTGTGGTGCTTGTGATGTGGCGCCTTCTTTATGACAGCTAAGTTCTAACATTATGGACCACATTTTTGGATGCGCACAAACAGTTTCAGACAGCCATTATCTGGTTAAGGTTCCAACTCGTCAGCATGGAACCGTAAATATCACCCACTGACGGAGGCCTCCGTTAGATCCATTATTGGCCGACATGAGGGCCAGTCAAGTATTTCTCTTAAAAAATACCAAATTCAAGTGCTTCTCAAGTCTGCATTTAAAAGCGGGCATTTCTGACTTGATGTTAAATAGGCACTTTACAAATGCATTAGTCAAGCATTTCTGAATTGTTACTTTATTATCTAAAAGGTCGAATTCCACTTAATGAACGTATTTGCTTATCAGACCATTTCCACGGGTCTGTTTAGCACGTGGTCAGGACTATCAAAAAAATCCTCCAACACGTGAAGTTTAATCGAATGAAGTAAAAAGTTTCTCCTGTTTACAAACGTTACCGTAGTCGCAATAATTATGACTAGGAGTGTTAGTGGTTTATAAATCGGTGGGAAACACTTTAGGGGGATTTCGCCTGTTCAAACACATTAAGTGGAATTTTTTGAAATTTGGACTGGTCAAAAGAGAAACAAGCATAATCTGACGAGATATGGAAGCGTCTTGGTCAAAAAACGGTACAGTTTAGGTAAAGGTAAAAGTAGTTAAGAGGAATTTTTAAGCAATAAAGTGCCCTAATCGTCCTACAAGTCCTATTTTTTAAACAGTAAGAAAGAGGTCTTGAGTAGAGCTTTGGCTGCTGTTCAGAAAGAGGCGATTCCTCGAAGGTGCTAATCATTGGTATTTGAAAAGATGAGTCTCCTGATCATAATTACTCTTCACCAGAAGAATACTTTGGCAGTGCAGTCCAGCATTTATGGCATTACTCACTAAGTCGTATTTTTATGTTACCGCGTGTTTGCCTTCTCGTACCACGCCCACACATCGGCGATTACCACCCTCCATGTCACCAGAGGAAATCTTTTTACAGATCCTCGCTTTTCAGACGGCGAGAACGACTAGCACCTTCATTTGCACACATGATTTTGTATCAATTTACCCAAATGTTTTGTCAACCTTGGGTTTACAAACTTCACACTAATAGTCGAATCCTCTCGAAATCTCATTTGTCACCAATGCGTCAAGTCCAAACTCTTCCCTCTAATTGTTTTGAACCCGTTATATAAGAGTTCTGTTTATTCTTATCGTTCGTTCCAATAGACACTCCCATTTGCTATAAACAAACACATTGATAGTCTCACGGGACTGTGTAAACACCTTGTTTTTACAAAAGGTAATCATTCCTCAACTTAATACAACACTCTTGTTTATCAACTTTAAACCATTTTGACCATCCTTGCCTAAATTGTACGAAAAAACGCAGGAAGAATTGGTGTAGATTAAAAAAATGCATCCATGGCCTGTTATCATGCCCCCATCTGCGAACGAGTTTGTCTGACTAGATGGTACAGTTGAACTGCTGCACAAGCTGAAAACGAACCTAATCTACAGGCATAAATTGTAACCACGGCTGCGCAGCCTCCTTTGAGAAAAAAAACGATGAAAGTTTGATGGAACAAAAAAAAATAGGCAACTCTGTGAGTACGTAAATGCACATGGTCACTCAAATCTGGGACTATTAAATTAGCTGGGGTCTTTGTTTGTATATATGGCCGGTTATTCAATAGGTTTTAAATAGGAGAGAACTTTTAAATGAAGTTAATCTAACTGGTGGTGCTGAGATTGCTGTGCCAACAAAGCGAATGATAGCATCCGAGCACGTTGAGAATAATCAGACCTGCTTGACAAAGCGATTACACTTTCAGAGACATTTCACTTTGTAACCATGAGCCAACCGAACGGATAGAAAGTGGGGGAACACTGCTACGCAGGTGAAAAAGGGTTTTCTTTTGTTCGGATTTACCATTCATTTTATTTAATGAGGCTAGCAAAAATGAGTGAATTTGGCTCCTTTTTTATTAAAACCATTAACTTATTCAGTGGAATGAGGGAAGACGATATTTTATCACTAACTGTAAAACATTCATCAACCTGATTTGAATGAAGCATGTTCTACGAAAGTTTGATCAAAAGTCGAACACGAAATCACCACCATAATTGAGACATTGCGGACTCGCAAACATTCTACCAGGTAAATGAGGAAAAAGTGTTTCTGTATGGGCGATTAATCCATTGGTGATGACCTCCCTAGGCAAACATAAGTTCAAAAAGAACATGAGCCGAATGGCTGAATTCATTTCCTCCCCGAATCGTCCTGATACCTTTTCGCTCGAATGAATCGAATTTGAATCGACGAAACTAGTAAACGTTGAATGGTTTAGCGTGAACAAAGTAGCTGAGCCGACGCTACTAAGGTCATCACCAAGTCACACGTCCGCTCGTGACCCCGCATGTGTTACGTCATGAACATGACTTCACGCTAATCCAGGGGGAAGTCGTCCCTACAACTAGGACCTCAAAAACTAGCTAGACTTTTCGGCTGCAAAGCTGATTTCATCATACACACCCGAGATAAAAGCATCAGGACCTACTGTTTTTTATTAACTTTAAAAATAGATAAAAGAGACAAAAAAGACAAAAAAATAAATTCGAAAATAGTCCCTATAAAGTGAGAGACACTGGTGAAAGCTTATATTTTTTATTTTGTGGAATGTCTTAAGCATAGATAATCTATAAATTAAGGACCTTTCTAAATAATAAAATTGCTAAAGCCCCGCCTTTCACCAATTTTTATGAAACACAAAAAAATAGCGGGAGCACAACAATAGTCATGCATCAATAGACGCAAATGAGCCAACACTTTTCCCCTAAAATCTACTGAAGCCTTATAATTTAATGCAACACCGTTTACAATAATGTCCAAAGAGAACGTCAAGTTCTCTCGTTCCAACTTATCTCTCCTCATTCCTAACTCCTTATCATCTTCCGAAGTGAAGACAGCAGCGAAACTTTGAGCAATGAAAGATCCACCATACTCTTCGTCATCGTCCTCTTCAACCAGTCGATCTTCTCTCCCTCGATCCGCAGCACAGAACTCCCACAACGGTTTTTGCGCAGCAGTGTCCAAGGGAAATTAGGCTATGGGTGAGGAAGATAAATATTTCGGACAAACTCATCATCTTTTACTCTTTCTTCACATGTGTGACTACTCTTGTAGCCCTCATTCAAACGCCGATTTTGTAATCGTAATGTCTCAGTGTTCGGTGGCTTTCTCTTTAAGATAGAGGGATACTCCTAAGTATAGAAAGTTTGTCCAAAATCAGAAACGTCTTCAATGTGGAATTTGATTTGCCTTTTAAAAAGGACCACTTTTACCTACTTTGCGAGTTGTGATGCGTCTAGCTCATACAGCTGGAGACGGTAGATGACTATGTCTACTGAGCGGAATATGTGTCTCATGATCACTACAAATCCAACGCAGAGGCGGTGTGAATCTAAGGTGTGGTGGGCCGGAGAGCGGTGGAATACAGCTAGACAAACTGTCACTTGAATGAGAGGGTATTCTTTGTTATTTGTTGGCGGCAGAAACAGCTCTTATCAGACGAGGAGGTTGGTGGAAAAGATGCCTCGGCTAGAGTGGTTCGGAAGTAGTCTTTCTTGATGTATCGGCAGCCCTCGAGCCACAAGTCTGTGGCAAATCCGATACATTCGACATCTTCGGCATTCTAGCATGCCGGATGTGCGATCGCCTAGAAGCAGCAGAGCATAGAGACTGAAATGCCAAGGCTTTTGTGATCGTAACAGGTATACGAGATTTCCTGAGTGTTGGAAAAATGGTAATGGGGAAACGATTTGTGCAAACGCACAGCCAGAGAAAATCTGCATTACTGCCGACGTACTTGAGTAGCGCTTACACGAATTGAGAAAACGTGTTAGCTGTTGATGAGTTACTACTGACAAAGTGTATTCGATTACTGCTTTCATTGTCGCAAGGTCCTCAAAAGTGCTCCTATATTAAATGATGAATCAAAATTCCTCTTTAAACTTCCCCCGACCCTTTAGTAGAGTTGCTACCTCCTATTAAAGCTTCACTATCGCGGATCGCGCGATGTTACGTTAACGAATTGAGGCAACAAAATTACCATTTAGCATGTGTAAAATCCCTGATGAGGGAAATCACCCTCCACTACACTGGAGAGAGGGCTGGTCAGAACGCGTCGTGCACACACTGTCTGCGCATTTGCAGCAGTTAAGCCGGGTTTTCCAAATTCATCCTTCCACGGAAGCATGGACAATACTGCCAAGAACTGATAAAAACCGTGTTTTATAAACTAGATCGACACATATAACACCCTCACTCCCCAGCCGATGGTGATACAGCCCTAGCCAAACCCAGATTCAAATTCGAAAAAGAGGGAGGCTATGTCCAATGCTCAATATGCACTATTGCTGCGTTCGAAAACACTAGTGCTGGTTGTACTTGAGATGGTCACGGGATTAGCGACGTTTTAGTGCGTGCGCGACTACGCACTGTAAAATGTATGGAACAAATCAGTTACCGCACAGACAAGTGCATAGCCAAACGCAGGAACAGAAAGACCTCCAAGGTACGAAGGGACATAGAGCCACAGATATATCGGCGATTTGTGCTGCCCCGGAGAGCCAGATCGACACGACCTTCATCCAAACTACGAAAACAACCTTGGAAGTGAATTTGGTAAGCCTCACTGAGGTCACAAGAACGCATTCCCCGTAGCAACTGCAAATTCAAGCCCTCGCTCAACCAACGCCAGGGGGATGACAGCTGCGTCACGCGATCAAGCAATCAAATATCGACCCACGGAGAAAAACCATAGGCAAAACCTACGAACGGAATACCGGGTCAAACTCACCATAATACACACCAAAGAAGACGAACAGAAAAAGAGCAGCAAAATACCGATTCAAATTAGCACCCACCACCGTATATTCACAAAAAAACATAAATCAACATAAACACAGGAAATAACATTTAGAATACAAATTGTGCTAAGATCAATGAGTTCACAAGAAAAACTCATCAACAACTCTAGACGAGGTACTTGGCTTGGGTGAGGGTGGAGAATACACCTCTTTGAAGAGAAGAGATGATAGTTTCTCGAGATAAGATGAATCCAAGCGGAATGATGATGATGAAGCTCCTTGTAACAAGTCCGACGTGGGACAAGATGACGCATTTCCAGAGGGTGAAACTTCGTTGCCCTTATTACAACGCCGTCGGCGTTTTCTACGACGCTTTTTGCGGCTAATATCCATAACTCCAGCATGATTCCCAATCGTCTCTAAAGGTGGAGGCATTGGCACAATTTCACTTAAATGGTTCGCTTCCACATCGCTTCCATTACTATTATATGATCTTCCTTCCACGGGGTCAGCAGCAGCAGAAGTTGCACCAGCCTCCTCCTCTTCAATTTCCTCCTCAACGGTTCGACCCTCCCTTGTTCGATCCACACAATAAAATTCCCACGTGCGGTCTTTACGCAGTAGTCTCATTGCAGTTCCGTATGTGATCAAGTGATGAATACGAGTTACAGGTGAATATTGGGGGAAACTCACCCTTTTGCAGCATTTTTCCTCGCGTTTAAGAGGCTTGAGATCTTTGTAGCCCTCATTCCAACGACGGTTTGCATCCTCGACATCTTTCCTTGACAGTTTTCCACGGCTTGACCCACTAAACTTCTCAGCGCCCAAAATGAGTGTCAAACCGGAAGAGGGAACGAAATCATCATTTCCCAGAAGTAAATTCGGCACAGTGTATGAAGTTTGAAAGCGCGGGACAGAGGAGGCCTTTTCAAACTCAGAAAGGCCTTTCGTAAAGAATTCAGTCTGACCCTCAGGAAACACCACTCTTACCCACTTCGCTGGTGGTGAGGCTTGCACTTCCCGAAGATGAAGATGAAAAATATTATCATCAGCTGCGTAGAACATAAACCGAAAGACGTCGGTTGCGTGATTGTTACAAATCCAACGCCGAACCCGTGGTGGTCTTGGCGGCGGTAAACCAGAAATTGGAGGCACAAAGCTACACAGACTGCCGCCAGAGCGATAAAGAGTTCGTTGTTTTTTGGTAGCTATAAGAATAGCCTTTATTAGACGGGAAAGTTGGTGAAAATGGAGCCTCGGTTTGATCGGACCCATGATAAGATCATGAGAGCGCATCGATAGCTCTCGGGCTGCGAGACTGTGATAAATACGCCGAAGATGGCACTTCCGACATTCCAACATAGAAGACAGGAAAAGGAGATCATTTTGCGACAAGAGAGCGTGGGAGCCGAAGTCCCACGTTCTGTTCAGTTCAAAACATGTAGGTGTTCTGACCTAAGTTTAGAGGACACCCACCAATTATGATTAAAGCACCAATTATCAAAAGTTGTAAAGAACAACGACTTACGACGATTTCGGTCATTAAAATTGTGTTGATTAATAGGTCCTTGAGTAATGTTAGAAGAGAACCAAAAGACCATGGCACAACACATTTGCCGACGTATGGAGTCTTATATGCCGCCTGTACGGTCTGCAATGTGCTTAAACAAACGACTTGCCGTTTATATATTAGGTTTAAACCACACGGTTAGCCAAATATTGTTCATTCAGTTCTATTTAGCAGCTTTAGATTTTTAAGTTGCCGGTTTTTTTGTCTTTTACACAGATTATTAATCTCTAATAATCATAAAAATTCATCTGATTTAAACAAGCCAACCCGTTAATTTAATCAGAAATACCTTTGTCTATCGCTTTATTTAAGCTTTCGCCTTATTATTTGTAGGCCTCCTGTGGCTTTTTAAAAATGCCATAGCCTTAAGGCTTTAATAATTTATTTTTAATATTTTGCAGCTAAAATTTCGCATAAAATGTATAGCACTTATTTTTTGCAAATGAAAAAAATTAGATTAAAATTTAGTTGCTACGCAGTCGTTGAAGGTTTGGAAAAAAATATGGCGTCCTAAAACTTGTTTTAAGACAAATATGGCAATACTCGTGCTGAGCAATTATATATTTAATGAACCCTGTCGCGACTTTTTTTAAGACAAAATAAGGCACAAATTTGGGCAGAATATATATATTTGGTACAGGGAAAGTGTCTGGGCACCTGGCAGGGTCGGAAGGCCAGCCCACCGAGTGAGGTACAAGAAGGCAAATTCAAAGGTTCAAAAAGTCGCTACTCATTAATACCGGGGGATAAACCGCCAAAGTATTTCATTAATGCACAAAAGGGGCTGAGTTTACAGGCCTCTCCTTAATACCGACCCAATCGGTAAAGTCACAATGGCAAGGACCCTATTTCTCTTTGCTAAAACCAAGAGTCGAACTACCAAAAATTGAGTAACATCTCTCCTCTATTAGGCGTCACTTGCAGAATTTCCTGTGTCAGTTTTTTAACCAGGTCGGCGCTGCAGCAAAAACACTTAAGTGCCAACCGCTCGAGTCGTCAGATTTCCATGGAGCTCTGAAAGAACTTAACTGCATCTCCGATCATGTCTTTTGTCAAAATAACGGAGTCTATATGGAATCTGGAGTTAAGTAGAAGAATTGCAATGGCTAATTTACCTGTCCATGACTTGACATTGGAGCACTAAACTAAAAGCAGATTTATTTAAGGAAGGAAGGAATTTAACACACTATTGTGGAGGCAGCATTAAGCTCCTGTTTTCTCTTGCTACTCTACTTTTTCTCCTCGCTAAGGTGTAGCACTCACCTGTAGATATCAGAATGGATTTTCTTCTAAGGTCTAGTTTGTTATTCGCCGGGACCAATGCTGCGCCTTGAGACTCCCCTGAAGATGAATGAGGATAATAATCGAGAAAAATATATGTCTATGGCATGTAAAAGGGCCAGGGGCTACTGCTATGGCCCATAAACCAGCTCACTCGGCATAGGTATGTAATACGATAGTGGTTTATCCCTCGGTTCTGGTGAGGCGCCTCTTTTGTGCTTCGAATTAGCCCCCTTGTACCTCGCTGGGTGGGCTGGCCAGCCATGCCAATAGCCCAGACACCTTCTCCGTGCCGAATACATATATTCTGCCCGAGTATTGTGTCTTCTTTCGTCTTAAGGGAGTCTCGGGACGCTACAGGTACAACGGCGGATTCTACAAAACTAAGATTTAAACAACCAACATGTTACATTAAGTGTTCGAAAAAACTTTGGTTAGTTGAATGAACGTGTGAGGGTCTGTTTGTTACCAACGTGAAAATCCGCTGTTTAGGAATTATTCTGTTGGATGGTGATGACCACTTCATAATTTTAGTTGAAATAAGTGTTTTGCATGCTGTAAAATTTTTCACACTCTGAGTTCAGGAAATAGATTTTTTTATTAGTTTGCAGTAGCTCATTGTTTCTGGGTAAAACTATCCAAGATAGAAATAAGCGTGTTTGATACTCAACATTGTTTAACCATATAAAGAATCTTGTGCAACGAATACCTTATTGGCTCTTTCACGTTTTCGGCCTCAGTAGGCATTTGTGATGAGTACGAACATAGAGGCTGAGGTATTACAAGCGCTTAAGACACTGCAGAAACACAACTTTCGAGTATGTCGTTGAGCTACTTATACGTTCTTCCAGGAGTCCGAAGCGGCGTTAAAAAAAGAGGCTGGTTTGACGGACAGTGGCGTTGCGGACGAGTTTTTGGAGTTTAAGGCGTAAGTTCAGATATCTCAAAGTTTTTTGCTCTTAGAGCCTTTAACATGCTCGGTCATTTTTGTTTAAATTTCACAAAATTGTTACATATTTTGTCAGAATGCTTTTGCGTAGTTAATAGTATTTGTTAGTGGTTTTGGAACCTAGGTAAATGTTTTACCAGGACCTCCCTTTCTGATTCCAGGGATTCCCCTGATGACCCACAGTCTTTCGCTTCTGCATATGAACAAGTTTTGAAATTTATTGATGGATGTACTTACCAACACAGGGTTTGTTTGTTATTCGCATTTCAAGCTTAATAGCTCGAACTATCGGGTCTTCTTTATCCCATATTTGTCCAACTGTACATGCGTCTTGTAAGTGGGAACTATTCTTCTGAAGGTACCTTTGTATTGCTATGGCAAAATGTGTTTTAGCTGCTGACTTAATGGCGAAGTATAGACGATTCCAGGAAGATTTTTATCAGGAAGACATTCAGGCTCTTGCTAGCATTACCGAACCGAATCATCTCTTCACAAACCCAATAGTTGAGACATTTCGTGGTTCGGACTTTTCCATCAGCATTGCTTCGTTATCATTCGCTTTGTTTCGTCGTTTTGTTCGTGAAAAGGGACTTGCTGTGATTCAAAGTATTATCAAGGATCAGCTACACATTGAGGGTATTTCATTGGTGTATTATTACCTGATTTAAGTTGTTGATGGACCTCCACGATCGAAAATACAACTATGCTGTCGTCGTGGAGCCATTTTTGGGGAATCACGACGCGATGCTAACTCGGAGGTTATTTTGTATGGCCTTTTGAGGGATCCTAATGTTGAATTGGATCCATCTGAAGTGAGCGATCCAATCACTGGCAGTCAAGGTTCCTAAATTAATTTTTTTTGTTACACCTTTTTGGGTGGCTATATTGTACGAGTTCTTCCAATCTTTAGATGCTGATTCCGAATTGACTCCATCTAAGAAGAAAAAGAGGAAGGATAACAATTCATTCGGTCATAAGCCTTCGAAGTACGATGATTCAAAGACGCACCCAAAATCACCGGCGCTAGACAGAATTCCCATTCCTAGGGTCAGGTTTTATCTAAATTACCATATCCCCTTTTATGAACGTCAAGGTGTAGGATTTGAGCTTGAGCTAAGTAAAGTTTATTTAAAGTAGGGGGAGTGTATAACAGTGGACTTGTTTTATTGTGGGTCAGGTATCTGATACGTACTTGGATCAGCGCAGAACACTCCGTCAAGAAACGGCACAGATATTGAGGAGCCTTTTACAGAGGGATGCCAACCCGCGCCCCTCAGCACTCCTCTACACGGTGTGCAATGCACAGCCGGGCGAGTCGGCGCTGGCCATTCGGCGGGGTGGTGTACCTTGCATGACCTTTTCGGAGGACCTCGGCATGCTAGCCGCGGGATTGGGCTCTGGTCGTATTCGCGTCTGGGCTCTCGGTGCCGAGTCTCTGCGTCAGATGCTCCCACCTGACAAACTCGAAGCTCTCGATATGAATGATGCCAGAATTAAGAGCAAGATGCTCCACGATGGGAACGGGTCAGTGGCTGACGCCTTTGCCATGGTTGGTTCTTTATTTTGGAGTTAAAAGGGTACCCAGTTCTATCGAACATACTCTGTTGGGTAATGCACTAGAATCGAGGATATACGTTTTTTTACCTCGTCTGCCTAATTTTAGCCAAAAAATTTCCGACATGGTGCCTAACCTCGTAAGTGCTTGGCTTACTTATTTGTGCAACGCACAAGCGGATTGTTTAACTTTTCTAGCTTAAACTAGACAATTGCTTATTCGCTATGCAATGTACAAATTCACATCCGTGTCTTCTATGAGGTAAGACTCGAAAAAAAATCGTTAATTTTCGAGAAAACGGCGGGAAAACGTTTTGTTTTTGATAGCTTTATCGGAATATCCGACCTAGGCACAGAAGTATTCACTTCGTAAGTAGTCGGTGCAAATTTCCCGAAACCTCATTTGTTACATTTAAGCTGTTGCCAAAATGAAGCATCTCACATGTCACATCTTTCATGCCCACAGTGAAGCTCAGCCATCCCGTGATCTGATTGGCCATCAATTGACTGTACACGGAGTGGCTTTTTCGCCCGACGGTCAACTGATTGCCTCCACGAGTGCGGATGGGTCGCTACGTCTCTGGTCTACCACTATTTGGGGAGGTGCACTCTCTGTATGGCGTGATCACGTCTTACCCATCTGGTATGTGCTCCACTGCCATTTCGAGTGATGTTTTACCTCTCAGTAGTTCTGTTGCATCAGACCACCAAGCAGTATACATTCCTAAGACCTTGTGTGAACTGCGAACAGATGGAACACTGTCATTGTAGGTGTGTGGATTGGGCTCCAGCTTATGGGCACTATATAGCTACAGGCAGCTCCGATCGGACTGCACGACTTTACGCATGTGATCACGCACCTCAACCGTTGCGCATTTTCACCGGTCACAAGGCCGATGTGACTGCGGTTGCTTTCCATCCAAACATCAACTATTTGGCCACTGGGAGTGCGGACAGGGCTGTCCGACTCTTTGATGTCCGCTCCGGAAAGGGTGTTCGCCTCTACACTGGCCACAAAGCATGTCATTTATTTTCATGCTATTCACACTTAACACGGTTAATATTGGTGTATCAATGTTTTTAACATATTGGTGGAAGTTTTCATTAGTCATATCACGATTTCTATATTGTTCCGTCCACTCAGATTATTTTCCATTGGATATTACAATAATAAATACAATTTTAGGACTAGGCTCGGGTAGTTTTTACCTTTTCTATTTTGTTTGTTTAAAATTAGCTCTGAATGGACTATTTGAGGAGGCTCCAAGGAACATACTGGAAAAGAGTACGCTAGCAATTGCGGGCGTTTCGCAACAGTCTCTTTGTTGAGTTTACCTCGGTTGTTCGTTGGACTCCAATACTAGGATATTAATGTCTGTCTCCAGGGCTCCGTCCAGTGCTTGGCCTTCTCGCCTTGCGGTCGATACCTTGCCTCAGGTGGCTGGTGTGGAGCCACGTGCCTGTGGGACTTAGGGAGCGGAGCGCAGATTGGTCAGCTTGGGGGATACAGCTCTGCAGGTGGCTGTCCAAAAAATGCCACCACTGTAGCTGCTGGCTCTGATGACGAGATTACGACTGACCAGCTGCTCACGGCGCCGGTGGTAAGCCTGGCCTTCTGCCCTGATGGTGGCCGTTTAGCCACGGGAGGCCTAGAGGGGGCCCTGCGGGTGTGGAACGTCGGCATGAGTAGGATGGCGCGGGGAGCAGTGGAGGGCGACGGTGCCGCTTCCCTCCTCAGTGTGCACAGCGCCTCGCGAGAGGACTCACGTGCTGTTGGAGGTGCCGTGGGACGGGTGGAGGAGTCCGATCCCTACTATGGTGTGGTGGGGGGCTACGAAGTCTCTCGCGGCTGCCTTCAAGACGCCTTCTTCACGCGCAAGACCGCCATTTTGGCTGTGCGGTTTGCGCACCCCTACCTTCTTCTAGCTGCTGGGCCTTATAATCAAGTTTAATTATGCAAATAACTTCTGATGAATGTGCCTGTATATGTATATATCGACATGTATTATACAGTGATCCCTTAATTATTTCGATTTTGAGTTGAGGGCTATGTTCATTCACTTCTTTTACTCTCCAGGAGTTTAGTAGGCTTACTATTAACCGTTCAGAGGTTCCGCACTAGTCTTCCCCTACTTAGAGTTGAGTCACTTTCCATGGGTGCACACGAACTTGACTGAAGAAGGGCAGCACATTGGATTGATCTTGACTGGATGGTACATGATGTTGTTCGTGTGAACTGATATGGGATTTGGAGTACTTGTAATGTCGGAGGGTGGGAACACAGATGAAACCGCGTGGTATGGTTGAATTGTTTCATCGAGGGTTGTACGGCGCGCGTACAACGGTACTTCCCGCAGAGTTCTCACCTGTAGTCGTGGTAGTACTAAATCCAAGCCAACGGATGCTATTTTTGCACCTAACAAGCATCTAGTATGCTGCAACTTTGTGGTTTGATGACTCAACATCTCGGCCTCCGTAGTTTGTGCCTTCGCTCTGCTTTTTGACTTCCGAACCATCCTAGTAACTCCAATCCTTGGCTTGTTTCGACGATAGAGAAGACTCAGGATCTATGCCAAATTGTAACATTGTTTAATAGTGAACCAGTACAATCGGGAATTATTCCTAAGCAGGGTTCACGAGCAACAAAAAATAACTTCTGGGGGTTTTGCTCCTTACTTTATTTTTACTTCTTAAATATCTTTCTACGTAGGAGGCTTCTGCATAGGAAGGGTCGTCAGTAAGTCTAAACTAGCCTAAGCCACCTATTTCGCCACATTGACGGTACTGAAATGATGCTTGGACCACCCTTCTGTCGACCATACCAAGTTTAAATAGCTCAATGCAGGATCCAAGTTATAAAGAAGAATATGACAATGTTTACTACCAGTGTAATGAGCAGTATGGGCTAATGTCTAGTCCTCAGGAAAGGCGGGGAAATAGTTTCTTCCGCAGACGCATGTACGTATCATACAGAACGCAATAATAATTCCCAATATCAGGATCATAGAGTTTAGAATCCACATTTTTGCCTATTTTACGATTTTACAATGGGTTATGGATTGATTAGACCTCCAGAATCAAAAGCTCCACGCAACAAATGTTCACAGGTGTGACATTTGGGGGCTGGGAAACATCATTAAGGAGACCAACGATAGCAGGCATAATAAGCTTCTAAACGTTTGTACTACTTACATATCCAGCAATGTCTATGTGTTCAATCTCTGCACTGCGTTACATAGGTTATAAGTAGGTTATGAGCTCCCATTCATAGGTAACAGCTCATCGCCACGCACTATACTACTGTAGCGTCCCGAGACTTCTCTGAAGGCGAAAGAAGACACAATACTCGGGCAGAATATACGTATTCAGCACAGAGAAGGCATTTAGGCTGGAGGCATGGCCCGAAGGCCAGCCCACCGAGTTAGGTACAAGCAGGCAAATTCAAAGGTTCAAAAGTCGCTCCTCATTAGTACCGAGGGATAAACCACCATCGTATTACAATATGGACCCGATACTACAATAGACTAATGAAATAATTGTGTCTGCACAATCCTTTGATACATCCCTGATATTGGTGTGTACTATGATGTGCATATCGCCTGCTACTTCGTACAGAACGCCGGTAGGTTTATTACTATGCAACTACATATTTATAAAAACAGCCTCCTAAATATGCCCATACTAAGCTTTCCTTATGCAACACTGCCTACTAGCTCATCAGTATGTTACTGCTAAACTTTCTTCAGCTTTTTATGGTCTGTTACAACTTCAGAGAAATTTCAAAGGGCTGCATAACAGCTGGAGTAGCAGTTCCTTTTTAGTCAAAGTACTAAGATAAATATTATTTTAATTATATTTAGATTTTTAAATTAGAATTCGCTTACTTCGTTGCCTTATGGATCTGCGCACTAAAAGCATAACCCAACATTTTCCACTCACTTTTGTTTATATTTACTGGAACAACTTTGCCTTGAAGGCCGTTTGGTTGTGATTCAAGAATAATTCCTGTTTTTTGGAGGTCGTTTGTCGTGAGTCATGTCGGTTTTGTGGCCTATCTACCTGTATACTGCATTTTTTACCCTGCGTGCTCAATCGGTTGGACTTTACGAAAGTGATGGTCGAATATCAGTATTGACTACAGCTAATTTCTCCGATTTTGTCAAACTACAGCCAACGCTTGTACAATTCTACTTAAGCACCTGTGGTTCTTGTCAAAATTACGCTCCAACGTTTAGAAATCTTAGTGAATCCGTTGAAGGTGGGTTATTTTTCGGCAAAATATTCTTTTAGGCTGGCGGTGGGCTGTTAAATTGGCCGTAGTAGATTGTAACGAGGCGGATAACGAGATTACCTGCGAGGACTACAGTATATCCACGTTTCCAACGTTTTTGGTATCCCTGTATCTTTTTGCAACGTTTTATTTTGCAGTTCTTTCTCAAAGGATCTGAGCCGACTCAAGTTGGAAAAATGCTTGATGACGTTATGTTTCGGAAAACTATTAGCGAAATATTGGTTAATAAGCAACAATACGACCAGCTTCTTCCTGGACGGTAGGTAGTCTTTTCAATGTATTATGCGTGTAGGACCAGTTCGAATGCCTTGATAATTTATGGACCGGATATCAATGAAATCGCAATGGTTAGCACTTTTGTTAATGCTGTCTGACAGGCATATCGTGTTGATAAATTGAGTATCTTTTTTAAATAATTTTTTTGTGTTCACGAACTTTTTATCTATTTGGCTCTGACTAGGTCCCCTTACGGGTTTATTCGAAATGTTGAATTTGTTATTTGGAGCCAGCTTTGTTCGACTTATAGGTATCTGAATCGGTGTCTTTTTAGCTTATTTTGGATGTTCAGTCGAAAACTCCAGTGACTTTACAGAGTAATTTTACGGAAGGCTCCCGATTTGGTGTCAGAAATACAGTTGGAAAGGTTTTGTTTGACAGGTTAGACCCCATAAACACTATGTTTAATCCCAGTGGTTAATAATAAAATTATCTACTTTAAAGTGAGAGCATAGAGGCTGTGAAAGACTTCCTTACCAAAAATTACCAAACCGGAATCAAGGACCTGTCTGAGGCTGCCACCAGACATCCGATTATGTAAGTTTTGTTCGTTATTGTTCGGTTACAGTATATTCAGTGAACTAACAAAAATCAAGGCACGTTTTTTGATTTATTGACGTCTTCTGGAATTACTCACTCAAAATTTTTGTTCTGGCTGGTTTGAAAAATACCATGTTTTGGGTTATTCATAGTTTTGGTACAGCAATATCAGTTTGCCCCTCTGATTTCTTCATGTACCCATCAATAAACATTCGTTTTCAAAGCACTACGAAATGCATATAGTGCCCATACATGATGTAAGATCCGCATATTCATTTCATTGCATTTTAAACTCCTTGTATCAAATAAAATACCAGGAAACACAGGATGGGCTTTAGTAACATGCTATTATGTCATGAATAATTAATGAATGTCTTCCACTTTATAACGAGTCAGCATCTTGTTGGTAAATATGTTTGATTGGAATATTTACTTAGCTTGCATTGATAATTCAAAATTAAAAGAGCAATAGTTTTGAATAGGTGAAATCGAACATCCCAGCGCTTGGATTTGTCTATGCTTAGTTTTCATGATTTAAACTGTTTTTCTCGGCCAAAATAATTGGTGTTAAGTTTCTTAATATAGTAATTCTCATGTATCGGTCGGCCGATCAACTCAACACTTTTTTGGACTTATGCATCAAAATGCAGAAACCACCTAATAGATACTTTTTGTAATATATCTCATTTAAATGAATGATATGAGATCAGTTCAGCTCCAATTAATTTAGTTAAGGCATATACTCTCATCTTTGTCGCACAAGCAATGTGTGAACACGATGTAGTTTTTCTAAATAAGATATTTTATATTGCGTGTAAGCGCTGTTTTTATCCGTATATGAAGAACAAGTGAAATGGACAGACCCGGAAGGTCATGTCCTGTCGTTTTTAACGGTGGATAGCAAGATTACTCGAGTGACGCATGCACTATTGCTTAAATCAGGTATACCGAATAAGTGCTTTTGTTTTCTGCCACCTTAGAGCTGGTTTTAAGAGACCCCTGGAATATGCCCGTTACTCTTTAATCGAAATAAGTTTGAGTTGTTTTTCTGTTACACTTTGGTGCCTCTACGTAAATTGGAATTTGATCTCCAGGTTTGGGTCTTTATTGAAAATCTGTCGACTAAACCTGTTTTGACAACAATCTCTGCAAATTTACTTTCACTAGGTTTTGCCAGAGAAGTAATTTTAAGATCATTCAGCATAGTGACCAGTTTAGATTTATTTAGTCTGGTCTACACTTTCACTATACTAAATCACAATGAAACTATGAGTGAACGTTCATGCCTCATTATCGTTTTAGCATCTTTATTCATATTTATGACAATTACTGCAAAGCCATTTTGCTGCCAATATTTTGCGATTCGAATTTTTACACGGTTAGTAAAGGTTTGCGTAACATGATGCCTTGAAATGTTTGGGCATTTAGTAGATGGTATGAATGAAGGCTCACCTTCAGGTTCGAATCAAACCGTGGCATCCTAGTGAATGCTCCGCTACCAAGATGTCATTATAATTGATAATCGTTGGGCTCTTTGAAAGAGCTGTAGCTCTTCTGCTAGTTTCTTAGGCTTAATAGTTTTTGAATGGCATTTTAATAGCTCTCTGTATAACTTGTTTAAACGATTAGATGTTCAAAAGTTTTGTGGGACATTTTGCATATCTCTCTGCAATGACTTATAACTAATAGTCTGGTAAAGTGTGATTGGCTATGGGTAATATAATTCATAGACATGTGTTAGCCCATCGGCGCTCTTTTATGCTCTCTTAACAATTTTTCCTCTCAATATGAACACTATCATATTAAAGCCAGTCGAATCCTGCGTGATTCGAGTTTGCCTGCTTTACGAAATGCGGTTGACTCAGTTCTAAAGCTGCAGAAGCTTCTTATACAGATTTTGTACATCATTTGGCGAAGCTGGAGTTGAAGCATGTGCCACCCGGAAGTGATTAGACACGTTGATTCTGGTGATGAGTCACGCAGTGATGGATGCATAATGGACAGAATGACCCTCTCTATTCCTAACTCTCGAATTACGTGTCACTATCGGCACTAACGCACCAAACCTTATTTTCGGTCGTGTTTAGGGAGAGTGATAATAAAAATCCGTTTACACCTACACCAATTGAGGAAGCCGTGGTGGAAGGTAGGAAAAGTGGTTTCAAACGTCATGCAATAACAGATGACAATCATCATCAAAGCCTGTCGATTTATCATTTCAATCTTTCGTATACGTTTAACAACGTGCTTTTTTATCTTGTTTTTTGGCTGACATGCGATGAGAAGTGGCTCTTATATTTTAACGTTAGGTGGGTAAAGCACAATTGGTTATCCCAAACGGTATACTTGATGCGCACCTCATACCTCGAGGGCACACACAACTTCATCCCCATAAGGCCATCCTTTTCGGCTTGATGCATTGCGGATGTAATGGTTCACTTACTGAAGGCCAGATAATTACGTCAGATCTATCTCCTTGATACAATCCAAACTTGCTTGACGGAATCTTCTATAAAAGCAGTTAAAATTAGTCAGTTATTGAATGGAAGGTTCTTTACTTGGAAGGAATTACCTGTGAGAGAACCTCACTACCGGTTTTTAAGATGAGAGGCATACAAGGCCTAACTTCACCATCTCCGCTTCTTCGATGCCTGTCCAAGTGTTTATCACTTTTAAGCCTTGCCAGCTTGTACCTCGTTAGGAAGGGATCGTGGCTTCTAATGGTGATCATTTCAAGCAAGGTATAGGGTCTTACTTGATTGCCCTATGGATCCGTCCACCATCATCACATGATTTGGAGAAGGTCAATGGTAATGCATGGATACGTTGAAATAGCAGACTTGTTTTTTAATCCAGTGAATAGGGAAAGAATTACTGTTTTGTCTCAATGGATAATCTTTATTTTTAAATTGAAATAGGTCTACTTTCCCAGTTACTAGAGGATATAGATGCTTCTGCAGTTTATTGGCTACACTTTGGGTGGTTGATTTCGTTTTACTTGGAAATAAATGCATATTACTTTGTACTTATAATTAGATTGCTTTTAATGGAACCTTATTTTGTGATGTATTAACTACACTCTTCCTTTTCTTAGGGACGTAATACTGTCTTTCTGCAAAAAAGTTTTTTGTCTTTTTCGTCAATTTACGTGCCCATTTGACCTTCTCACGCAACTGGGCTGTGCACCCTAAGGTGACTTCTGTGGTTGAACTTGCCAACATTTCCGTGATATAGCTTGGGAATTGGAATGTAACTTGAGTGCTTGTACTCTTTTGCGATAGAGTTCAGTCACCTCCAGAAATCAGGGTATTTTGGGTTTCGGGCTATTAATTTCCTGTTAGGTAAGCAGCAGAACACTCCCGAATCAAGATGCTCTGCAATTATTGTCGGATATAAATGTGTGGGTTGTGCATTATTTGTCAAGCTGGAATAGCGGTCGTCTACGATTACTATGGCATTCGTTTTGTAAACTTGTGACTGAATAGCTATGTTAATGTTAAAACTACCTGCGTCCAACCCTGAATGTTGCAGCATTTAAGACAAATTTGCGTAAAAGTTATAAACTCGGTGACACTAGCTAAGAACTCTTCTGTGTCGGGGTCTGCCTCAGGGGCAATCGACTGGCAGGGCTCAAATTCCTCTGTGTCCTGATTTGACAGGGGTGTCTTATTTTCACTTATTTTAAGCTTCCAGCCTAATTTATTTCCCTTTAGTTTTATCCGTCACATTATCTTCCATCCGCCATGCAAAGCAATGGCAATGAAAGGATAGTACTATGTTCCAACCCGTTATTGAAATGCCAGTGATTTATCCTTTCGGTTTGATGTTTTAGCTATTAGATAAACATAGTTAACTGATTCCGATGCAAGTTCATTTATTCTGTGCATAATTGCATGGCAATTGCCCGCCAATGGCTGGTTCATATATCTGCTTTGAAAGAAAAACAATTTTGTCGTTGAGCAAAGACCTGTGGGATCACACGATGCCCTGTTTAAATGAATGCCATGCTACCAAATACCACGTCGTATACTAACGCCGGCGCCAGCATTCTTCACGCCTTTCGCGTTTGCTTCAGAGGATTTGTGCAGGCTGTAGTGTACCAATGTCTCGAAAATTTCAATAGTTTATTTCATAACTTGGAACTTCCTTTATGGAAAGATAAAAGTAATTTTGGTGTAGTTGTTGTTATTACATGAACAGTAATTATTGGAATTGAAAAGTGATGTCAGAAATTAATTTGGCTATGCACAGTGCCTGTTAGTCAAACTGGTAGTGTCAGTGATGAAATTCTCTCAGAATTTTAGCGAGGTAGCAAAGGGTACTAGTGGTGCTTCTGCCTATATGGAGGTCGTGAGATCAGTAGCATTGGGAATTCGGTGGAAAGCATGTGACAGTCATCTAAATCCATAAATCTGGAAGAATATTAAAGATTTGACTAAAATACTTCATTTTGAGTGTAACAAACAGAAATAGTTACTAAGTAAGATGGAATATACAATGTTTTCGTTTGGATTTGGTTCAACTCCTTGCATTAACCCCATATTACACAAATTTTATGTGATCCTAGATGATGTGCATGTTTTTGACTATGCTTTTTCCCATTAGGCACTGGAGGCCTACGTCGAATTCTAGGCTTTCTTGGCTTATGTATGGTTAGGTTCTGCGTTTGGACTCCCTAACTGAAGTTTCTTGCTACGTCTTTCATTTTCAGCTTCTTTTCTGCTATTAGTAACCGTAATGTGTGGCTCCTATTCAAATCCATCTTACTTATAAGCAGGTCTTGGTCGATCGAGGGAAATGTTTTCCATAATTAATGATAAATGATGCAAATGTTTGCTAATTTAAATCACAAGCAAGGAATTTGTGTGGGGCAGTTTAATGAGAATAGTCATTTCATAGAGTCGTATAAACGAGGGGACTAATTTGCTTGCTACACTTTCAACTTATCAACAAAACCCTATTTTCTCGCCCATACAATCACAAACATCAGAGGTTCTGAAAAAGTCAGACATTAGTTTTGATGTGTTTGAGACGAGTAATCCGATGGGCAGTTACATGGCTAAACTCAAAAAGATTTCGAGCAATTTTTTTGATTTTGGTGGATATTTTTCCACTAAACCATCATCTAATGTTGAATGCTTTTAGCGATGCTGGAAAAGAGAAGTACCCTCCTACTTTTTCGATGCCCGTTTACGCGGCCGATGTCGTTTCGTCCCTCCAAGATCTCCTCATTCACGATGTCGGAAGGAAGAAAGTAATCGAGGGTGCTAATCTTGATGCTTTGAAGGAGTTTCTTACCGTATTATCAAAGGTAAGTTTGCAGCTTCTATGCCGATATAGGTATATCTTAATTGTCGCCTAAAGTAGGGGATTGGGCTGATCGGTGTGCCTAAATAACTTGAAACCCCATTTGTAGCCATAATTTCTTTTCAGTCTCTAATTAAATGTCGCTGGTATTACGTTCCTACTTACAAGTGCTTTCGGAGCAATCCTTCTAGCAAATGGTCACTCGCGCAACTTTTTTGCAGAGGACACTCTTATTTGTCCGTCTTTTTGCCATGGAGTTGTACACTTTGTCGACAATCCAGGGAACTAAACAGCCTCTCCAACGCGGTCATCGCCAAGCAAGCATTGAGGTTGTTAATTGTGACCGGTGTGTTTGTGCTGCGTATGATGGGACTATGCAGCTAAGGTTCCATGTAATAGTAATATGGCCTCCACAAAGGGCTTTGGAGGGTGCCGCAATTGGTGTAGACGGTGCGTGGGCGTGTGGGTGTCCGCGGAGGATGTGGTGAATCAGCGCTGTTTTTAATACGCTGCATACACCACTACGGTTGTCTTTTTCCACCTCTGCGACGTCCGACCGTACATGTAAAATTCAACGTTCTCACAAAACCGATTGTGTAACATAAACAGAGTTAAATAGAACTATTGCGCGCACCCACTTTTAAAGTGCACTCCAAATTTAATCGTTTGTAAGGATGCAAAATAATAGCTTATTTGTGGCCTGAAAAGGATCAATGCCACGATCTTATCAATCGCCTTTAAATATGGAATTCCCACAGCTCACCATCAAAGTAATTATTTTCTTTCTTTTTAAAGTACTTGGATTTGGGACAGCAGTACAATGAGGAAATCGCATACCTCAAGAAGAAGGTTGATGAAAAATTGGAAATCCAAAAGCAGGAGTGGCTAGGCCTGCTGGCTAAAGTGACAGTAGGTTCTTTGTTCTTATTCTATATGGGATATTTGATAGAAGGTCAAGCATAACCTCCGCCTGATGAATATAATTTATAATGCAGTCGAGTTTATTAGTTTACTGTTTGTCATTCATGTGAAATCACGTTCATTATCGTTTCTTTGAAACATGACTACGGATTTTTTCAAAATTGGAACTCATCGAAATAATAAAGCATACTTTTTTCTTCATTTGTCTTTATTTAGTTATCGACGGATAAGGTCCAATACATTGCCTGCCGTGGCAGTAAACCTCATTTAAGAGGTTATCCCTGCGGTTTGTGGGTCATGTTCCATGCCATGACGGTGAACAGGTATATTCAGGGTGAAAAGTCGGGTAGGTCTTCGCCATTCAAATGCCTATATGCTAAATTTGTGGGAAAGTTCAGAATTGGGTGCAGAGAATAGTTGCAAATCCTATTCTTGTCAGTAGATTCCACTCCATTGCTAGAATCGGCTTAGCGAATCGGATCTTGACGTGGATTTATGTTTTTTTTCTGGGTTTCGCCAACCCTGGCATAATGTGCAAAAAATAGGGGCTCTCACACTGCCAAGGCATTCATAACAATACACGTTTCAGCCTTCTACTCTGCTTTTAGACTCGCATTCCTTAATATTTTTGGGCTTAATCATTTTGGATGCTGGCCAGCAGACAGATCTATGACTTGCCCTTAGCTTTAGCATGTAACAGGTGAATATTTTGACCTAAAGAGGGTGAATCTCGTGTACCCTCCACAAGTACATATTCTGCTCCCATCACCAATCTTTTACCTCAACTAAATTTATGTAGAGAAGACTTCTGTTCGCAACAGGAAGCATTACTCTACATGGAAACAAAGCCAAGACTCCCAAACATTAAATGAGGCCATTAAGGATGCGTCTGCTTTTTGGTCAATGCACGCTACCACAAATAAAAAGGTGAAAATTATAATGACAGTGATCACTTTGGAGCTTGGCTGCTTCGTTTAAATATGAAATGAAAAAATGCAAGCGCGCGAAATGAATTATGTTGGAGTAGGCTTGAAATAACTGAGGGTATATTTACCTTTTATTTCCACGCATTACAGACGGAACCGCACCAATCGCGCATGCCCTGAATCGCTTCGTTCCGCGCTTCTTCAGTTGCGGCTACTGCGCCTTCCACTTCGCCAAAATGACCTCAAACGTGCGTTTAGGGGAAGAGGACATCTACCCTCACCGTCCGGGCGAGAAGCCGCCCTTCCCGTTGGAGGTGCCTGACCCCACCACCCTTCCCGCGGCCCCCAAGTCGGCTCGCGAGGAAGTACTCTGGCTGAATACCGCCCACAATATGGTCAATAAACGCCTCTCGGGCAATCCCTCGGAGGACCCAACCGCCCCAAAGATAGTCTTCCCCTCGCCGGAGCAGTGCCGTGCCTGTTGGTCCGAGGCCGCACGGCAGCAGGTGGCAGTAGATAAGTTCGCTGCCATGCCAGACAAGACTGATGAACTGCTAGCTTACCTCGTTCACCACTACAGACCCTCCTCTTGGCGATGGGATGGTGTGCACGTGTCATTTGAGGCCATCTCTCGGTGAGTTACATTGCCAATCGTTCGCACTTGTCCGTGGAAAACCACTTAAATTAACTTTAACGAAGTTTCAATAGAGATACATTGGATAAAAACCAAAATCAGTGGTCGTTGAATGTGTGATTGGAATGAAATGCACATTTTAGGACGCCTCCTGATCTAAATTGGGGAAACGATCGTGTATGAATGCTTAGTATGTGGTCTTTGTGTATATTTGTCACCAATGGTTAAATGACATTCAGGATTAGTTATATCATTGTTGAAAGTTGGTTACTGCTTACTTGCCATGTCAGAGGTCAGATTAGCTAGCATTTGACCCTTATAACTTAGAATTCATTTTTTTGTTTGTTTTACAAAGTTTTCGGACATTAATTGTCTCGGGAATGTGTTCGAGCAGAGAACTTCAAAGGAAACAAGAGAATATGATACCTAACCTCAAGCGAGTCATAAACACAGCGAAGGTTTCTCAAAGTCGTTCGCAGTAAATAATTGTAGGTCCGTTTTTACGCTTAGAAGGTCATGGATATTGTCTACACTGCCTGTAAAGACTACATATGAAGGCAAATTTCACGCCTGTCAAGTGTTGTACACGTTACAACTCGGTGTGTTATAAGAGGAAACAGTTAAATACCCTTTTTGAAGGATTGTGAGTAAATTTCCACCGTCACCGCATTATTTTGCTGCTTGATTAGTTTCATAGCTTATAATAATTCCTCCTCTGTGTTTAAAGCGCGTTTACGCCTGACAACTGCGTAACTCCACAACACTTCTTGGTTCCTTTCTAACTTTTCCTGAATCGAGTGTTGCTGCCTCCCTATTCATTAACTCATGGTGAAACAGCCCGGTTATAGCGCTCAACCCGTGGTATGAAACTACTATATAGGTTTAAATTCTGAAATGGCTTTGATACAGAACGCCAAAGTGGCTGTAAGAATGAGAAAAATCGGTCGTATTTACGCGCAGTTGCCAACACCCTTCTATGTAAGGTTCATTAAACTGAAATTTTACATTCTTTAGGTCACAACCCCACAATGGCTTCGCTAGAAAATTCCTCCCATCAATTAATAACGCAGTCATGTCCCTACTACTTAGCTTTGTTGGTGCATGTTTCGCTGTTCTGGGTACACTGAATGTCTCGCTTTGACAAACTTTAGTCCCCAAGCCAAGTGCCGATTTTCGATTTTGAAAACGCCAAGTTTTCACTTTGATTACGAAAGTGATCAGATCAATAAGAGTTTCCTTAGGGTTAAAAATGTTTAGCTCATACGTTACCATGACACGTGATGGCAAGGCTCATCGTCAAGAGTTTTTGTAGTCTTTACTGTCTCAACTACTATTTTGTTATTTGGGCCTTGAATAGGTAGAATTTCGTGTGGTCGTTCGCTTTAGACTGTAGATATCCGTTTATTTTTGTTTTTTAGCTCTTGTCTCTGCTGAATTTGTTTGACCGGATCGGTCTCTGCACTCACATAATGTCCACAGTAGCAAATCTGACTGTCACTAACACTAAATCTACATTACACACGTTTTCTTCGACAGATTGTTTTGAGGTTGATTTTCTTCACCTTACGGGCTATTTTATTCAGTGTTTTTTTTAGTTGTTTGAAGCTGCATGCTCTTTAAAATATCTAAACATTTATATGGAGATTTGCATTTAATGTCCACTTTAATGAACTATCTTTTTTTGCCAAATTCCTATCATCAAGTATCCGACTCACGAAATGGAAAGCTTCATTTGAGCAGAGCTTATTCATATCAGAAATTTGTAGTTTGTGTTGGAATGCAATACACGGTTCTACATCACAGAAGGTCTACTGCTTATGCTGCGTTGCATAAGGCCATTTGAAGCGTTCTGAGTTGTTTAACCAATTCGTGTTTGCATAAATTTGTTTGCACCGTTAATTCCGCTTTACTTCCGTTTGTTTGCTACTTACTATAATGAGCATAGCAAGTGGGAGAATGCGAACGCACCAACGCGGTGGGACGGGTGCGAATTCTTGGTAAGAAGATGCGCTCTGTAGTAACATTAATTTTTGATTTACCAGTACATGGGTAAATTGTTTGCCTAATAAATATTTGTAAAAATGTATCTGGCTTTTAGCCATTTTACTCTGGTAGCCAATTTGCACAAGAAGTGCTTCACTACAATTTTAACCACCAATCCGATCGCAATTTTAAGCATAAAATCGGTCGCGGACACCTTCAGCACGACCGACATGGTTTTAGTCGGGGTGACTTGCGTGTGCTGCTCGACGGCGCTGGCAGTTCTTGTCGCCCTACTCTGCTGTCGCTTGCGCCCCTCACGACGCAGCCACCTTCCCCTTTCCACCACCGCCTGAGGAAAACTTCTACCCTCTTCCTGAACGGTCCCCTTGCGCCTTTCTCCCTCTCTCTCTGACGATGAGAGTTCGTGTCTACACTAAATGCATCTTTTTGCATGCCTCTATTATAGGTGTCAATACATTTTTGTGCCTGTTTGGTAGGGTTTAATCCCACAATTTTTTTTAATGTAACCAGTGCTTGATTGCCATCGAAATGTCGAAAGTGTGTAAAAATCGTGATTTTGTTGCCCTCCCTAACTATCCTTATTATTTGTTACTTCTGATTCTTCACTTGATGCTCCGTAAATTAAAGAAAATTAAGTGATTAGCTTTGGAGTTCTTTCATCAATGTTGAAAATGGTTGTTAATCAAACGCCCTTGATTTACAAATTCCCTAGATAATAGAGCTGCAGTGTGTTGCGTGTAAATGGGTTCCGGGTTTACTGGAGCAAATGATGAAAGCTGACGTGTGCGTTACGCCTCTTGGATGTATGTCCATACTTGTGCACTGCGTCCGTTAACCGCACATTTTTGAATGTATTCGATGTCACCATGTTGACACCATGAGAGTGGTAACGCTTGAGTTCCACTTGTTAGCGTCTACTGTTAAAGAGAGGAAAGAGCTTTTCTATTCCCAAAATTTAGTTGGAATTCTGCTGTCCTACGAAGTCACACGAGTTTTGTAGTTTATCATGTAGATCACTTCCCATGGAGATTGCGTTATAAAAAGGGTAAGTGCTGCATTTCAGGGAATTGAAACCTCTGATTAGAAATATGGTGTCGTCATTGTAGTAGGTGTTTAAAACCAGAGAGTATTGCAGCGATTTGATGTTTGTTTAACTTAATGTATGTCTACGCGAACTTCTCGGCTGTCATATTTTGTACCTCCACTTAATGGCATGGCATACCAGCCACCTCTGTAGCCTCTTCCGTACCTTAATAATAAGTCATGTTCGGGACCATTTTGGTTTATCATGACTTGAGGGTAGGTACAGGGTGCTACATTGGTGGCAGCGGTAAGAGGATCCGATCAGAAAGAATAACCATTCCCACTTGTTTTGCTGATAACTGAGTCCCTGCGTCACAGAAAGGAAGCATTGGCTACGGTTGCCTGAATTTAAAGAGGCTCGAGACAGGTTCTGCAAGTTCTTCAGAAGTTCTTGCGTCATACAAGAAATAACAGCTTAACTAAGCCTGAAAACACCCAGTACTTATGATGGCAACACATGAATTGCTCGAAAAATAATACCTCCACATTTCAGATAGATAGGTGTGATCGAAATAAAAACAAAGTGGCAAAGAGGCGTAAATGCAGTTTTCTCCGTCTGAAAGCTCCTATTTTTGGTGAATGTTTCTACACATTGGGGTTGGCGCATGGAATGCACAGATCGTGGAGCAGCCTTCAGCGCTCAGCCGAGTTAACCATAGAATGCTAAAGGAGGGTACTTTTTTCTAACCAACAAAAGTGGTTCCCCACGTTGGATTCAAAGTTAGATTTTGACAAGTGAAGATTCTCGAAACAGAAAAGGATAATACAGATTTCATTGCGATCAGGAAGTTTCGTAAACTTCAAATGGTGCCCTACAGACCCTGTAAAGCATAAGACACCTCTCTAAGATTTATTAAACAGTTTGGATTGAACTATACCTGAAACATTGTTTCGCCAAACGGGATGGCAATGACCACACACAGAAAGTGCGATCATGGCTGACACCACTGCGTCAGACAGAACGCCACAGTTTTCTAGATTTAGCATTTCGTTTCTCGGCGCTACCTGTGCCAACGGAAAAGCATCCCATGAAAACTTCAGTTGGATAAAAGGGTTTAACGAGTCGTTAGAGGAACTGAAGTGAACGCCCTTCTTTGCACCAACTCTAGTGCAGCCTAATTTCGAGTCGTGTGCCCTGCCATTCATTCTAGACGCTGACGCTCGAGATGCAATTTAGGATGACGTGTTTTCATAGAAGGCTGGCAAAGGACGAGAACACGTAGTCACTTAGGCCAGAGATAGATAGGGCAAATATGTACCATTCGACGAGAAACGTTTGCCATATTCACATTTTTTGCGATATTTTAGACATTACCCGATAGTGATGAAGCGTGTAGGAAGAACAGATCATTGAACACTGACCTGGTTGAAAAAGCTAAGGTTATCCGGCTCTCAGGACCCGTTGGTTCGAGGATGTACAGCAATATGATTATGTAATACAAATCCCCTACCTCGCAAATCTGTATCCGAAAATACCTATAACAGTGAGAAAATTTCGCAAAGTAGCGATTCCGATAAGGCTCTAGTGTATGAGAGGCCCCTTAGATCTTCCTCTAAACCACAAATACAGGTGCCGTCAGAAGGGAAAGTAAACAAAATTACGTATGAACACCGATTTTAAGTATCTGAAGGATTAGCAGTTACAGGCTCCTTAGTACAAATTGACCTTCAAGGCCAACACGAGCAATTTGAATATATGGGAGAGAAGAAAGTGCTGGACGCCTTTGAGCAGCAGGTACCTGCAACTTATACCTCTCAAAGTCGTGGGTGACTTCTACCGGACCTGCATTACCCTTAATAGATTCAAGAGACTCCATCTTTATTCCATGCTTAAAATTGACACTAGTGGCGAAGTGAGGGTACCACCTGATATTTTTTTTATCAAACATTAGCGTATTGCACCACGAAGTTTATGAATACATGCCGCAGCAAAAAAAGGATTAGGCAAAATTTTAAGCTCACGAGCGAATGCCAACTACCTTGCCTTCAAGACAAAACAGCCAGCGCTTATCAAGGGAGAGATCTTATTTAGCTCATCATAGATCCGTTACATTCCTCAGAGTATGCTGCAAAATCCACCACCTTAGAGTCAAGATGTGGTTCAAATGATACAGAGCACTGCATTGCCACATTGACTAATTTGAAATGCACATTCACGCGCAGGAACAGTTACGGCACATCATTACAAAGTCCGTCGTTGAGAGGGTAGCCTACCGATCGGACACAGGGAGGGGGTCTGCATGTTAAAAGAAGGAGGCTGCCTGTTAAGTGTCCAGTTCGACAAGAAAGCGCTTAGAGGAATCACTAAGGACAATGCCCAAAGCAATGAGCAAACTATGCAAGATATGTAATCTTCACTCTAACTATCAGGATACAAGCCGTCACTTTCGAAGTATCTGTGGACTAAGAAAAAATCGACGATTGTTAGAGGAAAGATGGATATCAATTACTTTGGAAACATTTACTACAAATATCATCTCAAGCAATGTGTTGTATTTCGGCAAAATAAAATTCTCAAGCGGGGCTTAAAGCCTGACGTAAATGGAAGACTCAGCGCTCCAGAAATGAACTACAGGTGTAACAAGCCAAAGCAGCATTGAGGAACACACGTTTATAATGAACAAATAGCTGAGGTGACAACCAGCGTGACCAGGACGCACGGACACATGAGCTTCCATAGTTGGGTACACAATGGCAAAAAATGGTTAAAAAGTGCAGAAGAAAAAGGAAAGCTGAGTGGTACTCGGAAAGGACGGGACTCCTACACCTGGTTTATCTGTTTATGTGGATTTTCACAAAGTTAAGTAAACAAGCATAATTTAATACGAAGGGTTAACACTGAGTAACTGCGCTAGCATACATTGTCTTAAATCGGCATTGTAAAATGTTCTGCCATTTAATGCGATTTTCTTTCTATGAATTAATTTGCCCTATGACATTTTCTTTAAATGTGGAAGAGTTGTGTGAAATTACGTCGGAATTAACTGCCAAAATAAGTAGTCGCGAAAAATAAAATATCAAAAAGTAGTTGGTGCTTTAGATAAAAATTATCGAATCCGATTTGTACACTTGCATATTTTCTTTTTTTATCTTCATAAATAACACCGTGACCTCGATGTGCTGTGTATACCGTAATTCCATAGGCTGTGATGAGTTGGCAGCGAAATCGCGCAGTCCAATGATTTTGATCCTACTGTTAATATTGTTTTTCTGTGGATGGTGCATAGTGTATTTTGGACAGAGTTTGAAACGTCCGACTATTCAGGGGCCGGTTTTGATTGTGACTGCCCATCCGGATGATGAGTGCATGTTTTTCTCCCCTGTTATTTTGTCTCTTCTCAAATGGAACATTCCGGTTGATCTCCTTTGTCTCTCTTCTGGTAACTATTACGGTTCTGGCCGTCTGAGATGTGATGAGCTAAGACGTGCAGTAGACATCCTTGGAATTCGACATCATATGTTGATTTGTGATACTAAACTACCGGATAGTCCTCGCAAGATTTGGGCTGCAGGGCACGTCCAAAAATATATCTCCAAAGCTGTTCGGAAGTGGCATTCCAAAACAATAATTTCATTTGACATCTTCGGTGTGAGCGGCCATTCAAATCACTGTCAAATTCACTCAGCTTTGGCCGAACTGCCCCTGGGAGTTTCCGACGTGTTTGTCTACTCTTTGAAAACATATGACTCCCTTCTGAAATATTGTACACCTTTGATTGTTTTACTAGCCCTCTGCCTAGAACGCAGGTACGTTTTTCATGTACCGTTTTCTGGAACTCTTACACCTCACAAAGCAATGCTTCAGCACCGAAGTCAACTTTTGTGGTTTCGGTATTTGTACATGATCTTTAGTTCGTACATGTATATAAACGTTCTTTCCCCCTTAAAAAGCCGGTAAGGTGGACGCTTCTTTTCTGTACCTATTGTTTATATCTTGGAATTTTACGTTACTAGCTCTTTTGTTATTTAAAATAAAGATTCTTACATTCATCGTCGCTTCCAACTTCCTGCAAAACGGAAACATAGGATGTTTTGGGCCATCCAAGTGCCCAATGCGTAAATTCCAATCACTAAATAGAAGTTAAGTTGCCAATCTCATCATTTACTTTGAGCGTGCTAATCTATTCAACTACATTGGCGAAAAATCTTTGCACTATCCGCGAACTGAAGTCGCAACTTATCACATCAAAGCACAAAATCCCTTCAACCATCTGCAGAAAATCTTAAAGTCTAGTGCTCGTTTTCTCCCCATGCATTTTAAGAGCAGTTCCACCTACCCATTTTAGCAAATACGAAGTTGGTTTTACGTTTATATGGTTACGGTAATTGTTTTGAATGAGAAATTGATGAATGACAAAATCACACTGGATTTCGTGTTTATTCACCCCAGGTAATCATTGATTACTTGCTTTCTTATATTCTAATAACACACGAATGAATAAGTTGGAAATTTTATTTGAGTTCATGATCATTGTTGTTCTTGCAGCAATAACTTGTTTACCTGTTCGAGGTCAATGATGTAGTTCATTATCTAGAATGGCGAACATAGAGCGGGTAGATTACATTGAGAAGTAGTTTCGCCTCGAAAAGTAGGAGTGGAAGTTGTCATATAAGCAAAAAAGTCAGATCTAAGGCGGCACATAAAAGAGGGAGTCCTTTGGCAAAGTTACATGCATAATTGATATAAGATTTCCACTCAAATCAGTCGATAACTTACAAAGTCTAGGGCATTTTCGACCGATACTGATGAAGGTTTATGAATATGACCATCTAGGCGATGATACGTATTCATTATTGCCCTATTTTTGAGCGGAAACTTTACTGACCTACATTCTGAGAGTACCAAGTGCTTCCTTCATGTTCACATATGCTTTTTCTTTGGCAGCGATTTGTTTGGCACGATTGAAGTTTCTTATGTATAATTCGTTATGTTTCTTTTCCATTGCAATCAAGTTATTATAGACCTCTAGTAGATGTTCAGTTTTTGCCTGAAGTAAAAGCATGAAAAAACCGTACTAACTGCGCGAGATGTACAGACCTCTGGAGTTCTTCAATTATTTTAAGACTTTCCGTCTCTCGATCCTTCAATTCCTAAGGATAACTTACTCAGATTTGACACTGTTACTAGATGAAGTGATTTGAGTGCATCGGCACGACTAATTAGGTCATTAATATCACCGAATTCTTCGGAACACTGTACAGCGGAGTTTAAAAATGTATAAAACTGAGTAAAATAACGTAGGCTGCGGTCCTTTTCAGACTTAAGAACTTGTAACAGTGAATAGCTTTCTTTGAGACTGCATATAAGTACTAAAAAACTCCAACAACTTGCTGATTTCCTTCTCTATATTTTTCGTTCTAGCTTTTTCTATCTGAAATTTTTTAAGTGCATTTTGGATCCTATTATTTGTTTCAACGCGATTTTCCTCATGTGCCAAAAGACGCTTGTTAAACTCCGAAGTCCTTTGGGCAAGTTGGTCACGATCATTTTTAATCTTCCTCATTTCGGTTTCAAAAACCTAAACATCGAGAATAGGCAAAACCTAGAAGCAATATTTGCCTTTCGTTCCTCTTCCAATTCTTTAGAAATGTCGTCAAACATAGCCATAGCTGCGTCTGGCTGAACTTTTAAGTAGGGAAATTTGAATTACTGTATGCCTCATCCTCAGCTTTCCCGTCCCAGAAAACTTCGATTGCGGCATCTTAAGTACCGCTATTTCGTTGCTATGCCGACTAGTTTACGTCTAAGGTCATTGCGCAGTTCATATGATCTTTAAAAACCAACCAAGCATGAAAAGTCATTGGGAACTTGCTGAAGACACATGAAAATAAGCAAGTTTATTTTGATTAGGAGGACAAGGTGTAAGTTAAGATCTGATAAGGGTTTTAAAGTTATTAAATATGCACATATATAACAGTGTAGAGTAAATAAATGGTGATCATGAAGTAGTTACAAAACTTCATAATTTTTGTCCTCTTGCAGAAATATCACCTACTATGGTGTGGTATTATGGCAATATAAACTTGCATGTCAAGTGAAAAGAGTTCTCCTTAAGGCACCTATTTTATCCTCAAATTAATACAGAGACGCATTTTTTACGTTAATCTACTATTTTACAGCTCCCTGAGGCTTTTAGAAAGGATAGGGACCACTGTAAAGTATCTTTCCAGTTACATG